GGTTTCAAGCTCTGGTCTTGCTCGACCTAATTAGTTGCTGGGTTTTAAATAGTTGTTTTTCAAAACCGTCTGTGTCAAGTATCAAGCTTTACAGCCCTGATTAGTATCCATGTTTATTAACAATGTACAAAGCATAAAACATAGTATTATAATAATTCAAGCCCACAGCCGGTCGCGGCTAATATTCAAAGGTCACGGTTTTTACCAAAACCGTCCAAGTTAATATAGTTGGCCCGATTTTAATTTATTTAAAAAAAATAAAACCACGTCCCTTATGTATATTACTAAAGCCTAACGAACTTAAGTTTTTTAAGTGATAACATAAAAATATAAAATCTGTACGAAAAAAATTATTTTGAAAATTTTTAAAAATTACTTCAAGATGCTTTCAAAGACCACATTGTATAACAACAATGTGAAAACCAAATTTTATTTCTTATTAAATCTCATGAGATATTGAGTGGTTCCATAGAAAAAAAATGTTTCTAACTGAATTTATTAGGAAAATTACATACACCATTGCCTCACTTTAGATCAGCAACATCCTGTTAAGTTTTCGCACATCTGATTAAGGATAAGTGATAAGAGAATAATAGCTTCTGATAAGAGACAGATGATAAGAGATTAGCGACAAACGATGGGAAGGGTAGGATATTGTAGACAGAGATAGGTGGCATGGCCCAAAATCATAATATATGTATATGATTCATTGTTTTTTCCATGAGGTCGAGAAAATCAGAATTTTTTTTTTCAGTCAGAGGTTTTTTAACAAAGAAAATTTTCAAAAAATGTATAATTCTAGTTACGTTTAACTATTTGGTAATTTCCAGTTGTTTGAGTGAATTTCGTTTATAGCTGACACGTTTGATTTAATTTCGGGTTTTTCGACTGTTATCGCCCATATATTTTAAACGGGGCCACGCTATTGGACTTGACAGTATTTCTCCATGAAACCAATAAAAAAAAAAATAGATAAATTTCTGGTTCTCTCGGGTGTGTCTAAATATGAACAGGACAGCTTCTAAGGGTAAGATGTAGTCGGCCGAAGTGAGTGCATTGCATCAAAACGAAAAGTAAAAACCTGAAATATTAGTTATAGTACAAGTGTCGAGGACGGTTTTTATTTATTTATATTTTAATATTTTTTTAATTTCAAATCGAAACTCACGTAAACGTGTGTGGCAACAAAACAACTTGTTTGTACTTAGCATGCGGCGTTGGGCTATTTATTGTAATAAAATAATTATGTGTACACTGTACACATTGTGACCGAAGCCGATTATCTTTGAAATAACATGAATTTTGTTTTAAAAAAGTATAGTGAACACTTAATGGTACTGTTGCAAAACGTTATGATCCTTCGTCGTTAATTTTAATTTTTTTTTTTTTTAATGGAAACGTCGCCCTGAACCTCGTCCGACCTTTACATGGTGCTCAGCACGTGTTCGATTTACATTTGAGGCCGCCTTCGTTATCATATTACTATTATTTGTTATCACATAATATACCGGGTGATCATTTTATCTCAATGGATGTAACTAATAATTGAATTTTTCCCTCCCAAGCTAATTGTTTTAACATCAACTTTTAAACTTAAATCGTAACGCATACATTTCATTAGCTTTTTTAATTGAAAATAATGTACCAACATTTATTGACTGGTCGATAACCAGTTTTGGATAACTATTGTTGAAGTTTCAAGTTTAAGGCTGGAGGAAAGGTCGAGTGTAGTGTTATTTATACCTTTACGCTTTCCATTCCGGTCCTAACTTTTATAATTATACTAACTGTTATAATTAAAAAAAAATAAGAAAATGTAAGAATAACTATTTAGGTTACAAACATTACTATTAAAAAAACTAAATTAGTAGGGAGGTAAAAACAAAAATAGAAAATATGAACAATTAATATCACACTGTATAAAAAACAGTGTGAAAAATAAATTAATTTTCTTATAAAAACCTATGAGGTATTGAGTGGTTCACAATAAAATGATAACCCTGTATGTAGGTACAGGGTGTTCAGAATGTCATGTAACACCTGATTATATGATAAAAAAAATGACTCATGTGAAACGTTTTTCAAATTTATCAAAAAAAAAAAAATAATAATTTAAAGTTTTTATATATTTTTTTTTCTAGTCAAAACCTACATTTAAGGAAGTTAATTTTTAAAACTTAAACGGTAATGTATACATTAATTTGTTTTTTAAATTAAGTATAATTTTATCATGATTTTGACTGGTCTTTAACCATCTTGTCGATAGTTATTTTTCAAGTTATTTAAGCCTATAATTAAGGACTGAAGGAGGAATGCCATTGAGCAATGCGCACAGGAAAAATTAATACTTCTACCTTTTCTCTCATCCTTAAATTTAAACTTTAATAACTTTACAAGTAATTATAGAAAAATTCCAAACATAAATTATAAAAATAATTGTTGGTAAGATGTTTACTTGTTAGCATAAATCATTGAGTTTCTTTTGGTTCCTAAAAAATATTATAATTTGACTTCTCTACCCTTTGTCACTAAACCCGTCCAACTATGAAAGTATAATAAAAGCAACATTTTGAAAAGGCTTATAAATGTTGAGTAATCGCCTGGTTCGTAGTTAGTGAATCACCCTGTACAGACACCCACGCGGTAAACGGTTATATTTTCCAACTCAAAATGATGGTAAAATAATATAATAATAATATTATGTGCCTACCGTTGAAACAATGAGGTCGAGCTAGTGTTTACTTAGCATACGGGCTTAGCGACCTTGGCGGAATTCCACCGTTTCACCAAACCGTATTTGTACATTATGGTGGCCTCCTAGTAAATATATTAAACCACTTGAGCCTATGCGTTGGAACCTTTGCACCCACTATACATACATTGGCTCAGCTGGCGTTTCCTCGGTCACGGAATAAGAATAAATAATCGCTTTCGAAATATGAGTTTAATATTTTATAATAACAAAAATCACAAAGAAATATATACACCATTATAGATAACCGGTCGAGGAGACAATGCATTGGGCCTGGGTCGGGTTTTGCAGCCGTGACCTCTGGAATATTAGCCGGACTTGAATTATTATAATATAATTCTTCATGCTTTATACATTGCACAATAATATAGATCCTAACTAGGGTTGTAAACAGTGACACTCCATGTTGCCACCCCTGGACAAAAGCAATTCACCACCTCTAAAAATTTAACCAAAATAACAATAAAATAATTTTGGCTAAGCAAAGTTTTTTACTAGCCGATTACCAGTTTTGAATACTTACTTTGTATAGTTTAAGAGTAATTATCCAAATCTGATAGTCGACCTCAGATAGTCAACTCAGTAAATTATCACGTTCAATTGATCACCTGTATGCGATAACCGTTTACTATATTATTTTATATATGCATTTTTTCTTGTTCTGTAGTATAGTAAAGAATTTTATTTATTACACCACAGCGCAAGTTTGTTTACAGTGCCATTTTTTTAGCTCAAAGTGACATCGCCATTATGTTAATCAGTTACCTTATCTCATATTCATAATTTTCTTCATTTTTTATTTTTAAAAAAAACTTTAACTACGGATTTTTTAGTTGTGAAATTTTTAAATGTAATAACTACACTCTAAAATTGCTTCAGTCTAATTTCTATACTTTAATATTCAAATTATGATTTATAATAATATTCTTAATTATTATTATTTTTCAGAAATTGAAACATTTCTGCTTGTATTTTACAGCTGGTTGTTACACTAAGATTGTCCGTTGTAATATCTTCTTAGAAACATATTTCCTTTTTTATAAAATGTTTAAATATTTTATTGATAATAATTTTTACTATCATAGCACTAGTGGTTTAAAAAAATAATATTATGATGAATCATGGTGGGATCGGAAGGTTAGTAGGTCTTATTTTAGTTTTATTATAATTATGTGATCAAATCACTCTCACAGATAATACTTGGATGATGTTCAGTTAATGATTTCACAAATCATGCCATAATAAAAACCATTTTAATAGTATTAGATCGTAGATTGGAATCCGCTAAAAACACCTTTTTAGTGAAGAGTTATGACAAATTAAGAATAATTAAAAAAAATTGTATCTCGAAAAGATTTATACTGGCCACCAAGTACAATATATCAATAGTTTTCTAGTTTTTAGAAACTTAAATGATTTTTGGTATTTAACAAATTTATATTGGTTGGCAAAGATTACTTTTTGTTATACCTATTTCCTTGGAAAATTAAAAATTGTTTCGTCATTTAAAAAATCTTTAGATTATGGAAGTATATACAGGTGTTCCACAATGATTCGACAAATGAAATAACTATTGTTATAGTGAGTATTTTAAGATTAATTTATACTTATTTGCGCTATAAGCTCCACGTTTTTTAATGCACTTACCTATTTTACTTTTTTAATTATTTTTTATTTTTTTTGTTAGATTTTTTTTAGTTCAAGATAGCCATTTTACTAAGAACAATTTTTTGAAAATTTTGACTTGTCAAAACGATATCAGATTTTATATGGAAGTTGGTGTGCAGTAGAATAAGAGCGTAGAGCTATTTTTATCTGCTCGCATTACTCTACCTTTAATGGTTTTTTCCATACATAATATTTGTACGATAACTTTTATAGTTCTTACAAAGAATCGCAATTGTTTTTTTTTTTGAGTAATTTGATTTTTGGAGTTCTCACTTTGCCCCGACCCTATTGTGCTGGCATGATTAATCATTAAGGTAACCTAGAACTGCGTGATTAAAAAAATAAAATACAAAAAACAAAGTTAAATAATATTTTCTGATCCGAAAATTTGAATTTAAGTACACAAAACGAACAAACGCAGTGTAAGACTAAGATGATGACCTAAAAAATTATGTTTACAGAGGCCACTAAAACCGCTGCTTTTTTTTTTTTGCTGTATAGAGCATATACTAACGAAAAATACTATAAAACCGGCTAATACTGAGGCAGAGTATCATTTGGTAATAATCTTACGGTTAAATTCACATTTTGAATTCTTTTATAACTTCGGCGTTCTCAACATGTATTGCAAATGTATTTTATTGGTTGTATTTTTTGTCTGTATTCAATACGGTGATGCTGTTAGCCAAACGAAGGTAAATATTAATTTTGTATTACATCTTTATAAACAAATTTTACTAATAGTATACAATACACAATCAATACAACCTTAATTTGAATGACTTTCTGTTACTCGAAAAAATAAATCACTATATTTTTTTACAATATAGTAATAGTAGATAGTATAGTAGATAATATAGTTTTTAACAATTTTTTTCTAAAGGCCAAATATACTATATATATTATATATATAAAATGCAGTTTGTTATGATATACAATTATTTTATGTATTACAGAAGTTGGAAAAATACTTTGATAGAGAAAATAAAAAAGGTTTACTATCCTTATATGCGTTTGTATCTTATGTACGACAAAACGCTAGTACGAAGAACTATTACTATAAATTGGTCAATGAAATTGGCAAACAATGTGCGTATTTTATTTTAATTTTCCAAAATGGGCTTTATTTCAGGTTTTTGTTTTTAATTTGGGCGCTACTTACATTTTAAATAGTATATGTGCAGTCCGAGACAAGCAATGTGTTTAATATAGAAAATGTATAACATTAAAATGTAAACCTAGCGTACTATTTAATATAAAAAATTTAATTTTTCGTATTCAAATATCCAAGTGTAAAGTGGAAAATTGTTTATGGAATAGTGGGGCCATAGTTTTATCTACTATATTCATAGTTAATTTTATAGTTCTACATCTTAATTTATGAGTATGTAGTTACAGTTAGATTACAAAGCAGTTATTTAGTTACGTTTTGTTTTACTTTGAGTTTCTTTGTCAAAAATTATGTCAGTCGATACCATGAGTCGATCGTCAGCATCGAAAAAACAACACTGAAATTTCAAGTGTTTATAACTTAAATGAAATTAATTCATTTTAAACTACTTTATACAATAAGGTTTTTCCTAGAATCTGGTGGTCTGAATACTAAAAATGTTTGTTCATACAATATAATCAATAGGGTTACCTATAATGTATTATGGTTATTTCTAGACCCGGATGGTATGAATAAGGATACATTTATTTGGGCAATTAGTACAGTAGACAAACAAGTTACATGTCGAAAAGGCTTCACTCCTACGTGTAAATACACTGATGATTCAAAACAACATGCAGAACATCTCAAGAAGTCCGCAGCAATGGATGAACAATTTTATAAGGAATTTTTTAATCGATTTTAGTTTTTTTAAATGATTTTGTTGAATTGTTTATTTCTGCAGATTTTTGTTGTACCGTACCGTGTGTTTTAACATTAAAATTATTTCTCCTCATTAGTTTGTAACAGAAACATTGTTAAATAATTGGTTTAAATAAAGAGTTCAATAATAATTATCAAACGCAGTGTTTTATTTTTTAAAGGTATTGTCAAGTACTCATCACCTATCTCAGCTAATACAGACAGGTTGACTTTCATGTACAATTTAGTGTTTGGAAAATGTTTTAATTTATGTTACACGACTATAGAGGTAGCACTATACATATTAACATAATAACACTATACAGTACAAAACAGAATAAGTCAATATGCTTAATATTTTTTCAATAATAACAAAGTCACAACAACATGTATGTTTTCATAAAAAAAAAATGCGTCGCATTGAACACCCAACAAAACTAATCGTTGAGTACAATCCGAATAGTCTCCATCTGAATTATGTTTTTATTATTACTTCCAATACTCTGATTGCCTCATTAAGACCCCTAAATGTGACACGTATGTGTTTGAAACATTTTTATTTTGTTTCTCTCTAAGATAAATTGTTATGTTATATAACACCAAATATATTGTTTTATTTAATTTTAAATAATACATAGTAAAGTAGTATGTTAAAGGGAGGCACTTCGCACTGCTGGAATTCAGAAATAAAACATAGTTATATCAACTAAATTAAACTCATTAATTTGACTGATTTCTATGCACTCTAAAAAAATATACCAATTTATCGGTTCAAACCAATTTTTTACATATAACATTCATCTGAAGAAATAATATGTGAAGTTAATTAATTTATAGAGTTTTATAATTGAAAATTGAGAAAGAAAACTAATTACTAGATGGAGCAAAGTGGGCGTATAAGGTTTTTTAGAAATTTGTATTATAACCAAGAGTCGTTAAATCACTATCAAAAATAATGCTTGGACGTTATTCGATAGATAAGGTTTAAGCACCATGGCTTAACCATAAAAAATATTAATAGTATTGAATCTTTGTAAGTTACTTCGGTATTGATAATAACACGCAGTACCTTTATTTATACAAGGAGATCGTTTTATCTGCAACTACCCGGCACCTTTCCTCCTGCCCTAAACAATACTTCCGAAACTTCAAAAACTTCAAAAAAGTTATCAAAAACCTGTTATCGACCAGTCAACATTATATGCATTACCATTTAAGTCTCAAATGTTGATATAAAAATAATTAGTTTGGGGTGCAGGAATATTAAAATTTGAGATCATATCATATAAATCACTATGAAAAAAAATGCAGAGACATTGAGTGGTTTATGATAAAATGATCACCTTTTATATCGCCAAATTTACACTAGTGCAATTAAATTAAATGTAAAACTTGTTTGCTACATACTAAAAGCATGCATACGCATACAAGATGTAAGCTTAGTTCACATGTACACGTGCATGTACTTTTTGAACGTACAGGGTGATTCAAAATGAATGAACCGATTCCATGATCAAATATTTTGTAAGTAAATGTACGAATCAGAATGAGGGAGTGGCTGAAGAAGATGCATCACAATTGAATTTCACTCTGGACGCACGCTGCACTGTTATCACTGATTTAGTTTTTTCAAACTCAAGAATACATAACGCCTTCTGTTGAGGAGTCGTCAGTTGTTTGGCAGTCATCAAACAACTGAGCATCCTTGGAAGACCAATGTACCTGGCGCGGTCACGTGGCAACCATCTGAAATTTAGACACCTATTCTTTCAAACAACCATTCCCTCATTCTGATTCATACATTTACTTACAAAATATTTGATCATGGAATTGGTTCATTCTTTTTAAATCACCCTGTACTTCAAAAGTTGCTATAAAAAAAAAATTATGTTGGGAGACGGGCAATAAGAAAAAAAAGTTGAGATAACATTTGTAAACAATTATAAAAAAAAAATGTCATTTCTTTTTAAACTCTATGATATTTAAGAATTAGGTGCTAACCTAAGTATAATGTGAAAAATATGGTTAAAATATTCTAATTTAAATTAGTATTTCTGTTTAAAATACATGTTTTTGATTATTTCGTTTGTATTTCTCAATTTTAATGAGTACTTATAATGGTAACTTCTTCATCTTAACATTATATAATTTATATAAGTTGGGGGATGGGTAAAAACAAAAAAAAATTGTAAAAAGTTGAGATAACAATGTAAAAATTATGAAAAAAAAAGAAAAATCTTATTAAACTCTATGAGATTTAAGAATTAGGTACTAACCTAAATATAATGTGAAAAATATGGTTTAAATTTTCTGATTTAAATTAGTATTTGTGTTTTAAATACATGTTTGTTATTAATTACTTTGTATTTTTCGATTTTAACGAATACTCTTAGTGGTAACTTCTTCAACTTAAGATAATTTATCTTATAATACTTTTGGGTAGGATTAAATTCAATAAACTTTAATATCAAAATTGTTCAATTGCAGATAACATTTAGAGAATCATTATTTATGCATATTTCTGCTTAATACTTTTAAATAGTACCTACAAAAACACATAGAAATTAAAAAAAATTAAGTGCACATGTTTTAATATAATATAGCTCATCATAATTTTAACAAAAAAAATATATGTTGCTATTGGAAAATCTAAAGTTGCTATCAAAACAACTAAATCAGGAGGGGGTAGGAACATACTAATTTGTGGAAAATTGAGATCACATTATACAAATAAACTTTGAAAAAAAATTAAATTATTAATTAAACTCGGTAAGATGATAAAAGTGACCCATGATAAAAGAAACGCCCTGAAGAGAGACATGTTTTTGTATTAAGTAGGTACACACTGTATGAATCATAAAAACACATTTTAATATATTTAATGCGCATATGCGTGGTTTAGACGGTAAATACGTTTCACAATGCCTTTGAAGCTATTTTCTTGTTTCGTTATTTTTTTATTCGAACAGATTATGGCAAAATTATTTACATAAAGTTTTATACTTCACCGCCCGTCCTAAATTTGAAATCTAAATCACTTTAATAATATAATTATTACTTATGATATTGAAGAAAAACTTATGGGAAAGGGTTGATAATGGTTCCTTAAGATTTTTCTTTTGACAACTTTTGACCCGATTTATAGGTAAATCGGTATATAGGTATTGGCAAATTACAATGCAAAAATAGTTTTTATATTTTTTAGAAACTAAAATACTTTTCGATGTAAACATACCTCTTCTTAATGTCTTTGAGTAGTAAATAAATAAAATAACTTGTTTTTCTAAATAAAAAAATAACTTAAATATTTTTTATATTATTCTCAATAAATGTTATTTTTTAGGTGATAAGAAGGGTTTGCTTGTATTCTACATATTTTTACTGGTTGGTGTTCAAGAAAACAACATTTGTTTTGTTGAAAACATATTTTTTTTAAATAGTGCAAAAACACAATAACATGTCTCTCTCTCTATAAAAAAAAATGCGTCACTTTGAGCGTATAGTTTAATATTCTTGATAGTTATAATTTTATAGAAATATAAAATTTGTTTTGGTATTAAACAGATTTCTCATTAAGAAACGGTATTAGTTGTCCCATTAAGTATACCTAATGTAACATGTTCTTAGAAAATTTTAATTTTGTTTTTCTTATAAACAATTCTGTAGATTATAGAAAAAAACTAAACAAGTATTTTAAAACTACCAATATTATTAAAGAGGTCCTGATTTTGATTTTGGTTGAACAAAAAATAAGTAATTCAAATCTGTTGATACATTAGTGTACGTAATAAATAAGTATATATTGTAGGGGGATGCATGTAACTTTGCTATGTGTCAAGTCTATCAGATCAGATATTTTTGCCAATGGTACATTATTGGGCCAGTGGTTGTAAAAGTTTCCTTTTAAAATCAATAAAAACTTCCAACACATTACATATTTTTCTACTTGAAACTACTTCGTGATGTACCCCCATTTCATTTCGGGGTATTGACAAATTTTTGGTTTTTTTTTTTATTTAAAGACTTACCATCATTTTGCCTAACACATATACTATAAAGTACCTATTAAATATGTTTTAGTATGTTAAAAAAACCAATCTTTTAGGATAATACCCTAAGATTTATATAAAAAAAAACAATAGCTTCAAAATGTTTAAGTTTTTACAGGTATTTTGTTTTTGTCGTAGATTCATGATGGTTTTTACCAAGTGTCAAATTTTTTTATGTGACTATATTTTAAAGATCGTACACTAAATATTTTTTGAAATGCCAAAAGATAAGAATTACATCCATTTCCATTCAAAATTTGCAAGAATTTCGACTTAAAAACTTTACTATTTTATTGCTGTACAGGGTGATTCTTTTATCACGAACCAGTCAATATCTCACTGGGTTTAATTAATAATTTAATTTATTTTTTTTATAATGCTTTTAATACGTGATCTCAATTTTTTGCAATTTTTTTTTTTTTAGCCCCCTCCCAACTTAGTGTTTTGATAGCAACTTTTAAAACTTAACGTATAAATTGTATTAACTTTTAAAATTGAGAATAATGTACTAAACATTTTGACTGGTCGATAAGAAGTTTAGGACAACTATTTTTAAAGCTATAAGAGTTTAAAAGTTAAGATGGGAGGGGAAGTGCGGTTTTGCCAATATTATAGGACCCCTGATCAAATATACAGAATTGGATTTTAAGCGCTACGATAATACTTCAGAACAACACCTCCAAATGACGCACAAACTATATAAACATTTTGTGTTGTAGTGTTTTTTTATTGTAAAACATTATATGAATCTTTAAAACAGATTTTGTTTGTTTTTTTTGTTAACATACATAGCTCATGTTTATTAAGACGTCTATACTGTATACATTTGTATATACAGGGTGTTCCACAATGATTCGACAAATTAAATAGCTTTTGTTATAGTGAATATCTTCAAGATTTTTTTTTTTAAATTAATTTTACACCATTTACGCTATAAGCACCACGTTTTTTTATTGCGCTTAACTATTCTACTTTTTTAATTATTTTTTTCATTATATTTTATTTAAAAAAATTCAAATTAGCAATTTTATTCGGAATAGTTTGCTGAAAATTTTGACTGGTCGTTAACCAGATTTGGAAAAATACTTTTTAAGTTACTAAAGGTTAAAGGGAGGGTAGGATAGTAGGTGGAATGCGGTAAAGTAAGCGCGTAGAGCTATTTTTATCTGATCGCATCACTCTACCGCACTTCACCTCCTATTCTACCCTTTAACCTTTAGTAACTTAAGAAGTAAGAGGACCCTGTATACATAAGTATAGTAGGTATAGTTTTACACTCACAGATCGAAAAGGAAAAGCAAAAAGATCATTCCCAATCTTTTCTAAGCTATACTGATAAAATAGTAATTTTAAGCAAACTAATGGCCTCTGTAGTATTTTTTTCCATACTTAATCTTTGTACGATAATTATTATAATTATTACAGAGATTCGCAATTGTTTTTTTTTTTTTCATAGTGATTTTATTTGTTAATTTCTCACTTTAGCCGACCCTATTGTGCTGGCATGATTAAACATCAAGGTAACATAGCACTGCGTAAATTTAAAGAAAAACAAAAAATAATAAAAACCTAGCTAAATAATATTTTCCTATCCAAAAATTTGAATTCAAATCACAAAGCAAACATCATAGCGTATTGATACGCAGTGTTAGAATAAGATGGTGACCTAAAAAATTATGTTTACAGAGAACACCAATACGGCTGCTTTAACAGATATATATTTTTTTGCCGTGTGTAGCTTATACTAACAAAAAATATTATAAAACCGACTAAAGCTGAGACAAAGTATCATTTAGTGTCTCTTACGGTTCAATTCTCATTTTGATTCTTGTATAACTTCGGCGTTTTCAACATGTATTGCAAATGTATTTTATTGGTTGTACTTTTTGTCAGTATTCAATTCGGCGATCCTGCAAACCCAATGGAGGTAAATTTCAACTGTATAATACATCTTTTTAACAAATTATAATTGATAGCGTACAATATAGAATTATATGTACATATTACATTATGTAACTTTATTATGTACAATATATACAATTACATATTAATGTAGTAGGAGCAAGGGAAAAATAGTATTATTTTTATTATTATGAAACTAAGCAATATATCTAGGCCAAATGGCAAACGGTTAAAATGTTTATACAACGAAAATTATATTTATTTCTATTATTTAAAGCCGCGCAAATTGTTATGTCGGTAGGCACTCTCTTGGGCTTATCCCGAGGAATGACCACTATCTCGTATATGATCGTTTATACGAGGGGTGTATGTTTCGCTTTTAAATATCGTTTTTGTACTTTAATTTTGTTGTGAAGCAAATTCAATTTTGTCGTGTGTAAACCTTTTGAAGTTATAATTATTTTATTTTTGAAAAAGAGTTACCTTTCTTTGCTTTTTAATTTAAATATTATAAAAGGTGTGTTACAAAATAATAGTCACTGAGTTAATTCATAATAGGTTTCGTTGTAATAAATTGGTCTCTAACTCTATCAAGAACGTACGGATCATAGTCACTGGCTCAACTAAGTTTTCTTACTTAGCTCTAGGTCAGGAGTGCTGACGGTTTCTACGAGACTAAAAACACTGGCCATTTATACATTGAAATTAGTATTAGAATAATACTAAGGTTAGACCTAAAAGACAAACTTCGTTCGAGTGTGTATCGTGTGTATTGGACCGAGTCCGTATACGACATTAATATACCTATAATAGAATGTTAATTAATAATACATGTATATACATTTATAATATATAGCATTTATTCATATTTATTTATTTTTCATTTAAATAATTATTATTTTTTAACAATATAATATTTATTGTCCTTATTATCTTATGTATTGGGTGGCCCACAAAGATTTAACAAATGAAATAACTTTTGTTCTAGCGAATATTTTTTTTAAAAAAATGTATACTCATTTGCGCTATAAGCACCGTAGTTTTTATTACACTTACCTGTTTTACTTTTTTTGTTTTTTTTATTCCATATTTTTTTTGTTTTTCAAGATAGTCATTTTATTCAAAATATATTTTAAAAAAGAATTGGTGAAAAAAATATGTATTTTTATTCATCTGTTCAAATAAAAATAAATCAACGCAGTTTACTCTACCGCACTCCACGTCCCAACACCAGTCATCCTCACTTTCAAATAAATATAACTTTTAAACGGATGAATAAAAATACAAATGTATTTCACCAATTCTTTTTTAAAATCTATTTCGAATAAAATGGCTATCTTGAAAAAAAATAAAAATATGAAATAAAAATTTTTTTAAAAACTATTTAAAAAAGTAAAACAGGTAAGTGCAATAAAACCACGGTGCTTATAGCGCAAATGAGTATAAATTATTAAAAAAAAAAATCTAAAAAATATTTACTAGAACAAAAGTTATTTTATTTGTCAAATACTCTATACTCGTAAATCAATTAGTTATGATGTACAATTGTTTTATGTATTCCAGATATTGGATACCTTTTTTGAAAACAATAGTGAAAATGATGTAATGCCCTTAATTTCGCTTAAATCTTTTGTACAAGATAACTATAGTACGACTGAATACACCGAGGACGTGATCCAGGAGATTGAAGACAAATGTATGTGCTTTATTTTAATTTTTACAAAATATAATGTACTGTTTTTTTTTTGAATTGGGTGATCTTACATTTTTAATAGTAGCACGTAAGTATCAATAACACAGAAAAACCTTAATATACAAAAAGCATATGTACAGACCGAAATAGGCGATATACTTAATATAGAAACTAGGTTTTTGTTGTAATGTAAAAATGTACAACATAATATACTATTTAAAGAACAAAATTAAAAATCGTATTTAAATATCCAAGTTTGTAGTGAAAAATATTTTATAAAACAGTAAGGCCATAATTTTATTTACTACATTCGTAGTTAATTTTATAGTTGTACATCTTAATTCATAAGTATGCAGTTACAATTTTATTTTTTTGTTTTACTTTGGGTTTCTTTGTCACTTGTATGTACTTTAAATAAAATCAATTATTTCAAACTACTCCATTACAATATGGTTTTTCCTAGAATCTGGTGGTTTGAATTATAAAAATGTTTTTACATAAAATATAATCAATAAGTTTATAATGTATTATGGTTGTTTCTAGTCAAGGATGGTGTCAATAAGGAAAAATTTACTTGGGCAATTAGTGCAATTGAAAAAATGAAGGTAAATTTTATTTTTTAATAAATCTTTATCAAAAAAAATATACTAATAGTATACAATACACAATTACATATCTTAATATTCCTATAATACTATTATAATATGAAAACCATTTTTTTTATAAATGGTGAAAAATTCTACCAAAATATTGAATTTTTGATAAAAATTCGACTATGAAGATATTTTTAAAAAAAATGTTTTAATTAAAATATAATAATAATTTTTTTTGTAATTTTGTATAGTATCATCAGCCCTTAGTGTATTTGGCGTTTTGACCATATATGCATACATATATATATATATATATATATATATATAAATTATATTTAATGCAATTTGTTATGATATACATTTATTTCATGTATTTCAGAAGTGGGATACCTTTTTTGAAAACAATAGTGAAAATAATGTAATGTCCTTAATTTTGTTTAAATCTTTTGTACAAGATAACTATAGTATGACTGAATACAACGAGGACATGGTCCAGGAGATTGAAGACAAATGTATGTACTTTATTTTAATTTTTACAAAAAATAATGTACTGTTTTTTTTTTTTTATTGGGTGATCTTACATTTTTAATAGTAGCTCGTATGTATCAACAACACAGAAAAACCTTAATATACAAAAAGCATATGTACAGACCGAAATAGGCGATATACTTATTATAGAAAATAGGTTTTTGTTGACTTTAAAATGTATAACATAACGTACTACTTAAAGAACAAGATTTAAAATCGTATTTAAATATCCAAGTTTATAGTGAAAAATATTTTATGAAACAGTGAGGCCATAATTTTATCTATTACATTCGTAGTTAATTTTATAGTTGTACATCTTAATTCATAAGTATTCATTTACAATTTTTTTTTTGTTTTACTTTGGGTTTCTTTGTCACTTGTATGTACTTTAAATAAAACCAATTATTTTAAACTACTTTAATACAATATGGTTTTTCCTAGAATCTGGTGGTCTGAATTATAAAAATGTTTTTACATAAAATGTAATCAATAAGATTATAATGTGTTGGTTGTTTCTAGTCAAGGATGGTGTCAATAAGGAAACATTTACTAGGACAATTAGTGCAATTGACAAAATGGAGGTAAATTACAATTTTGTAATAAATCTTTATCAAAAAAAATATACTAATAGTATAAAATACACAATTACATATCTTAATATTCCTATAATACTATTATAATATGAAAACCATTTTTTGTATGCATTTTTTTTATAAAAGATGAAAAATTCTACTAAAATAGTGAATTTTGACATTTTCATGTCTTAGCTCTGGCACATAACCGAAAAAAGTGTTATTTACTTAGTGTTACCAAAAAAGTGTTACCAAACAAGCGTTACCAAAAAAGAGATGGGGATGAAGATGAGGTTGGGGGTGGAATTAGCCCTGACATATAACCGAACAAAGTGTTACCAAAAAAAGCGTTACCACACGGAGTTGGAAATGGGGGTGGGAATGGGGATGGGATTGGGGATAGGGGTGAGAATTAGCTCTGGCACATATCCGAAAAAAGTGTTACCAAAAAAAGTGTTACCGCACGGAGATGGGTTTGGGGGTGGGAATAGGGATGGGGGGTAGGAGATAGGGGTGGGGATAGAAGATAGGGGGTAGGAGATAGGAGTGGAAGATAGGGGTAGGAGATAAGATAAATGTTGTACGTTCGACGTTCAAATTAGAACTAAATGATCGATTCAAAATAGTTTAAGAGCCCGAATACCGAAACTTGATGTTTTAATATACCTACTAGCTTGTTACTGCTTCTTAATATACTATATCATTATCTATAATATTGATTTGGTCTTTCGTGGTTGCAGACTCGGCTGAAAAACTTTTTTTGATAAAAATTCGCCAATGAAGAAATAAAAAAAAATGTTTTAATTAAAATATAATAATAATATTTTTTATAATTTTTTATAGTATCATAAGCACTCAAAAAATTGTGTTTGGCGTTTTGACCATATATGCATATATACACATATATATGTTATATATAATGCAATTTGTTATGATATACAATTATTTCATGTATTTCAGAAGTTGCATACATTTTTTGAAAACAATAGTAAAGGAGGTAGAATGTCCTTTAATTCGTTTAAATCTTTTGTACAAGAAAACTATAGTACAACTGAAGACAAAGAGGAAATGGTCGAGAAGATTAAAGAAAATTGTGCGTATTTTATTTTAATTTTTACAAAAAATAATTTACTGTATTATTTTTTTTTTATTGAGCTTTGAAAAATATTTTATAAAACAGTGAGGCCATAATGTTATCTACTACATTCGTAGTCAATTTTACAGTTGTACATCTTAATTCATAAGTTTGCAGCTACAATTTTGTTTTTTGTTTTACTTTGGGGTTCTTTGTCAAAAATCATGTTAGTGTATTGAATAATTATTATTCGATCGTCATCATAAAAAAACAACTACTATAATGCATTATGGTTTTTCCTAGAATCTGGTGGTCTGAATTATAATAATGTTCTTACACAAAATATAATCAATAGGATTTTAATGTAGTATGGTTGTTTCTAGTCGTGTATGGTATCAATAAGGGAGCATTTACTTCGGCAATTAGTGCAGTTGAAAAAATGGAGGTAAATTTCAATTTTGTAATACATCTATATAAAAAATAAGGGTGACAGTATACAATACACAATTGCATATATTAATATACTTATAATAAAGTAAGGTATAACCGTACTTTAATTGGTTGGGGTAGTCTGGTCCTCTAGATTGGGGGTTGAGCGCGGGACTAACAACCCCGCCTTGTAAAAACTTTTTCTGATAAATACTTTATCTTAGTAACAACCATTAGTTAAAGAATAGTATCACGTAAAATTAGAGGTGTTATTAAAACTTACAGTTGTAAGAATACGTGTAGTTGCAGATACACGTGTAATTATAACTACACAAACTTCACGAACTTCTGCACGTATTTATAGTTATAAGAACTTCTACACGTCAATTTGAACTACACGTGTCACACGTGTATTTACTTACACGTGTAATCGGTAGCTCTAATGCATATAGCAGTCTTGCAAGAGATAAGATGGTCAGGGAATGGACAGTTAAAAGTGGGGAAATATATAACCTTTTTCTCTGGAATGGAAGAAAAACATATTTTTGGGAGTCGCTTTTCTGTGCACGAGACCTTGGAACCATACATAAAAGAGTTCAACCTTGTATCAGAAAGAATAGCAGTACTACGAGTTGACACAAACCCTCTAAATATAGTATTAGTGTGCACACACGCACCAACGGAAACAGAGGAAGAGGATATTAAGGATGCGTTTACGAGGAACTGGCACACATTTATGATAAACTACCAGGGAACGTAATAAAATTAGTGATGGGTGACCTAAATGCCAAACGTCGAAGGGAAACACAGTTTATACCAATGATGGGAAGTGAAAGTATACACGAGTCAAGCAATCGAAATAGGCTTAGGCTCATATCCTTCGCAGCGGCAAAAAATATAACAATGAGCAGCACAACATTCCCACACAAAAACATACATAAAGTCACATGGAAATCACTGGACGGTACAACAGTTAACCAGATAGACCATGTACTTATTCAAAAGAGATTTCGTTCATGCATGAAATACATACGAACCTTCAGAGGAGCTGACTGTGACACAGATCATTTTTTAGTAGTGACAAAGTTTACACCATACGTAGATGAAAATTTAGGCGGATATCAGCGTGGATTCAGTTTAGAAAGGGAGATCAACAATAAAACAGCTCGCTATCATAGGCCAAATAATATAAAAAAAGTATGAATTCCGCAAAACATTTGGCAGCTATTGGTTGATTTTAAAAAGGTCTATGATAGCATACATCGACAAAGCCTCTATAATATAATGGTGGAATTCGGGACACCAAAAAAATCAGTGGTCTTGACAAAAATGTGCATGGAAGACACACAGTATCAAATAAGCGTCGAAAATACGATGTCAGAAGCGTTTGAAGTAAGAACTGGCTTAAAACAGGGAGATTCACTATCCCCGACTTTATTTAATATAGCAATGGAAAAAGCTATAAGGGAAATGCAAATGGAAACAACTGTAGTAGCGATCGGTCAACAACATAAACAAGTACTGGGTTTTGCAAATGATTTAAATATATTAGGAAACTCCATGGAGGATACGGGAAAAGCAGCCCAAGCCCTCGAGCAAGCAGCCAGCAAGATAGGGTTGAGAATCAATGCCGAAAAAACCAAAATAATGGAGTTGCTAGATAACGGAGACAACCTTAATACGGGGTCCCTAACTTTCGAAAAAGTTGATGAATTTCGGTACTTAGGAGCTGTACGGAGTACTAAAAATGATTGGTCAAGTGAAATAGTAGTCAGGATAATAAAGGCTGAAAGAGCGTCATTTGCCTTAAGTAAGTTCTTAAAATCAAAATTGTTCTCAAAGAAAACCAAAGCTAGACTATATACGGTAATAATAAGACCTACGCTCACCTATGGCTGTGAAGCATGGTCTACCATAAGTACAACCGAAAGAAGGCTCAGGACTTTTGAAAACAGAATTTGGAGGACAATATGTAGACCAACTTATGATACCGAATATGCAATTTGGAGAAGAAAATTTAACAAAAAACTGCAAGACGAATTGGGAATTGCATCAGTCATCAGCTTCATAAGAGAGCAAAGGATTCAATGGCTAGGCACGTGATGCGGAGAAGCGAGGATGATATAAGTAGAGCAGTCCTAAACTGGAAAACAATGGGGAAAAGACCTCGAGGGTCGCCCAGGAAAAGATGGCTGGATGTTGTGGAAGAAGACCCTTAAAAAACTGGCAGTACAGGAATGGAGGGAATTAGTTCAGGATCGAGAGAAATGGAGGGATATTGTGATGGCGGCCAAAACTCTTAAAGAGTATTAAGTGTCAGACCAAGAAAAATAAGAAGAATATACCTATAATACTATGTTACTTCATAATAAATTTATGGAGATGGGGAGTGGGTTGGAGTTGAATCGCTTTCTGTTAAAACGGCATATGTTATATTTTTTGTTAATTTTTTTTGCAACTTTCAACTAGTATAAACTTGAATTAAATATTTTTAAAGTATCGAAATTTGGTATAAATGTCGAGAACCATGCACGTCATAATGCACATAAAAAAATTATTTACAATACTACCACATTTTGAAAGATATGCAGTTTTTTTATCATTTCCCAAAATATCAACACTACTATAGTGATTTTGTTTGCAATTGATTAAAGAGATAATAGGAATTTTTTTCTTACATATGATTAATTTTGTGGTGGAGTTTTAGGTTTTTTTTTATTAATTTAGGAGTAATTAAGTAATTTAGTAATCAAATTCATTCCATTTTTGTATGCCGGTTATATATATGAAAATAATTTTTTTTTAAATGGTGAAAAATTCTAAAAAATATTGAATTTTCGAAAAAAAATGTTTTAACTAAAATATAATAATAATCATTTTTATAATTTTTTTATAGTATCATCAGTCCTCATTGTATTTGGCGTTTTGACCATAAATACATACATATATATGCATTATATATATATATATATAATGCAATTTGTTATAATATACAATTATTTTATGTATTCCAGAAGTGGGATACCTTTTTTGCAAAAAATAGTGAAAATGGTGTAATACCTATTATTTTGCTCAAATCTTTTGTACAAGAAAACTATAGTATGACTGAATACACCAAGGGCGTGGTCCAGAAGATTGAAGACGAATGTGCGTACATCATTTTAATTTTTACAAAAAATAATGTACTATTTTTTTTTTTTTAATTGGGTGATCTTAGATTTTTAATAGTAGCTCGTATGTATCAACAACACAGAAAAACCTTAATATACAAAAAGCATATGTACAGACCGAAATAGGCGATATACTTATTATAGAAAATAGGTTTTTGTTGTAATGTAAAAATGTACAACATAATATACTATTTGAAGAACAAAATTTAAAATCGTATTTAAATATCCAAGTTTGTAGTGAAAAATATTTTATAAAACAGTAAGGCCATAATTTTATTTACTACATTCGTAGTTAATTTTATAGTTGTACATCTTAATTCATAAGCATGCAGTTACAATTTTATTATTTTGTTTTACTTTGGATTTCTTTGTCAAAAATCATGTTAGTGTATAAAATAATTATTATTCGATCGTCATCATAAAAAAACAACAATATGGGTTTTCCTAGAATCTGGTGGTCTGAATTATAAAAATGTTTTTACCTAAAATGTAATCAATAAGTTTATAATGTATTGTGGTTGTTTCTAGTCAAGGATGGTATGAAGAAGGAATCATTTACTTTGGTAATTGGTACAATTGACAAAATGGAGGTAAATTTTAATTTTGTAATAAATCCTTATAAAAAAAATATACTGATAGTTTACAATACACAATTACGTATATTAGTATACATATAATTCTATGTTAGTTAATAATACATTCATGATACATAAAATATATTCATATATTTTTTTTTTCATTTAAATAAATATTAATTTGAATAATATAATCATTTTTGTCATTATCTTGAAAATATGACCTTCGGCCCAAATAAAAACATTCTTTACTTCAAAAAGTTATAAAAACTATTTTTACAGGTCAACAGAATCAAATTAATATTAATAGTTTCAATTTTTTAGAATTTGTATTTTTCGGTTTTATAAAGTATGCTTTAAAAATGATTTTAAATGAAAATGATGAGCATAAAACAAGGAATAAGTTTCAATAGGCACGGACTTGATTAAAATATAGGATAATGTATTTTAAAGTTCAAGTTTTCAAAAGTAAAAAAAAAAAGCTAGTATAGTGGGGTCGGGGCATAGTGGGGACGAAGAGGTCACAGGACTACAGATTTTATTATAACTGAAAGTGAAAAATAATTTAATACAATATAATGAAAATATTTTCATTACCTGTTGACTGTTGATTCACTCACACCTAGAAACTGACTACGGCCAAAGTGTAAATTTACCTTATATTTGGTGCTTTTCCTTAATAAAAAAAAATTTACAACTGATTTTTGAGAAAATTGTATATGTTATAATTCCATTCTAGATCTACCTTTGGTCTAATTTTCAGATCTAAATCTTTAAAACTTTGCTTAAAAAAGTGAATTAAAGAAAAAATTTCTATCCCTTCTAGGGGAAAGGGCTTATGATATTTTTTTGGTTTGTTTATGTTTATCAATAGGACTATGTTTGAAGAACAACTCATATAAATTTGGAACTTTTTCAAAAAAGTTATAGAGCATGCCGATAATTTTCATATGAATACAATTTTTTTAAAGCATAATTTTATAAAAGGAGAAAAATTCTAAAAAAAAAAATTGAGTTTTCGACAAAAATTCGACATGAAATATATCTAAACATTTTTTTTTAATTCAAAATATAATAATAAAAATTGTATTTATTTTAAAAGTCATTAGTCATAAAAAAAAATCGTATTTGGTTTTTTTACCAATATATATCAATTTGTTATGAAATACAATTTTTTTTTTTTGTATTCCAGAAGCTGGATAATTTTTTCGAAAACAATAATGTATATGGTGTAATGTCCTTTAAAGCATTTAAATTGTTTGTACAAGAAAACTATGGTGAGGGACAAGATTACCGGGACATAGTCGAAAAAAATCGAGACTCTTGTGCGTAGTTTATTTTAATTTTTACAAAAAATGATTTAGATTAACAGCTCAGATAAACCCTAATTTACAAAAAGCATATGTGCAGACCGAAACAGGCAATATGCTTAATATAGAAAATATGTTTTTGTTAACTTTAAAATGTAAACCTAACGTACTATTTAATGTACAAAATTTAAAATCGTATTTAAATTTCTAAATTTTAAGTAAAAAATATTTTATGAAACATTGAGGCCATAATGTTATCTACTACATTCGTAGTAAATTTTATAGTTGTACATCTGAATTCATAAGTTTGCATATACAGTTTTTTTTTTGTTTTACTTTGGATTTCTTTGTCAAAAATAATGTTAGTGTATTGAATAGTTATTAATCGAACGTCAATATAAAAAAACAACACTGAAATTTGAATTTTATGTACCTTAAATGAAATCAATTATTTTAAACTAATTGTTTGTACTTAAACACAATATGGGTTTCCCTAGAATCTGATGGTCTAAATTATAAAAATGTTGTTTTATTAAATATAATTAATAGGATTATAATGTATTATAATTGTTTCTAGACGAGTGTGGCATTATTAAAGACGCATTCATTTGGAAAATTAGTACAGTTGACGAAAACGTCCAAGCCCCAGTTGATTTCGAGCCTTTCGACCTTACTTACGCACAAGCAACACGTCTCGACAAGCCTCTGCCATGGCAAAAAGAAGATAATTGATAATATACTGATATACTTCATTAATATATAATGATGTACAATTTATATTATTAATATACAACATAGAAAATATAAATTACCACTAATACCTATTGTTTTATTGATTTTGTTTTATTTATCCCGGCATAATATTGTTGTACTGACCGTGTGTTTTAGTAATAAAATCGTATCATTAGTTTTTAACATCTAAATTATATCTCTCGATTTGCTTGTATTAGAAACATTGTTAAATAATTGGTTTAAATAAAGAGTTCAATAATAATTATCAAACATAGTGTCTTATTTTGAAAATGTACTGGTTGACTCACTGAGATTCCCCATTGTGAAACGTATGTGATTGGAAAATTTTAATTTTGTTTCTCTCTAAGATAATTGTTATGTTATACCTATAACACCAAATATATTGTTCTTTTATTATAAAATTATACATAGTAAATTAGTATGTTTAAGGAAGGCACCTCGCACCGTTGGAATTCAGAAATAAAACATAGTTACATCAACTTTATAACTAAATTAAAATCATTAATTTCACTGATTTCTGTGCACTCTAAAAAAATATATTAATTTATCGGTTCAAATAAGTTTTTTTATATTTAACGTTATCTAGAGAAAAATGTAAATTTAATTAATTTATATAGTCTTATAAGTGAAAATTAAGAAAGAAAACTAATTACTAGATAGAGCAAAGTGGGCCTGTAAGGTTTTTTAGAAATTTGTATTATAACCAAGAGTCGGTAAATTACACACAAAAATAACGCTTGGACGTTAGTCGATGGGAAAGGTTTAAGAACCATGACTTAACCATAAAAAAATGTTGAGATCACATTGTAAAAAATTATGAAATATCTAATTAAACTCTATGAGATTTAAGAATTAGGTAATTATAATGCGAAAAATCCTTTTTAAATACTCTGATTTCAATTAGTATTTGTGTTTTAAATACATGTTTGTCATAATTACATTATTACATTATTTGTCATAATTGCATTGCTCTATTTTAATGATTACTTTTAGTGGTAACTTCATCTTCCGTCATATAACACTTTTGGGTAGGATTTAATTCGGTAAATATTTAAATTTTACAATTCCAAATGACTTTCAGAGAACCTTAACAACAAAGTTGTAGTCAATTATTTTGAATTTGTAATACTAATCACGTATAGCCTACAACGGGTATGACACATAACCATATATCTATCAATATATTCTATCATTTGTTTGTGTTCTACAGCCTTATTTTGATTGTCTCGCTAAGAACTTCTATTGTAATACCTACTTAAAAGTTAAAATTTTGATTGTCTTTTAAAAAAATTTTTTGTCTATGGAACAAAAATAAATTAGAAATTTAAAAACTGCCAATAAAATTAATTAAATACCAATTTTGATTTTAAACAAAAAAAACCAATACAGTGGGGTCGGGGCATAGTGGGGACGGAGCATAGTGGGATCGGGGTTTAGTGGGGAGGGGAAGTCACAGGTTTACACGAATTTTTAAATCTGAATGTGATAAAACACTTTCGAAAAAACGAAATAATAATATGTAATAATTCCTCTAAGCCTGTTAGCTCCCCGTCCCCACTATGCCCCAACCCCACTGTACTGACTTTTTAAAAATTTTAACTGTGAAGAAGTAAACTTTTTCAATTTTTACACCCTAAAGTACCAACTAGATGGCATTTTTGATTTATAGAGTTGCTACTCGAAATAATTAGTCCAGTATTATAAAAGTTACAGTGTATATACTATATACACTGTAACTTATACTATATAGACAAAAAAAACCCACATCATTATAAAATCAATAGCATCTCTGTCCCGCTACGAATTAAAAAACAAATGTTTAAATAATTTTGAAAACATGGTTGCTAAAAACTTTATATCGGCATTTGGTTTTGTAAAATGTAATTCGTGTATGACTCACTGAAATACATTTTGTTTATTATGTATACTGATGTTAGTATTGTTTTATGGAACGTATAACTTAGAATGACTCACGTGCACAAAAGCAAATTCTCAAACCTTGTATGTAAGAATTTTCCATGCTATGTTAAACTCATTAGTTTTAAAAGCATTAGGTTACATTTAAATTTATGCGGCACGGTTACTTATCACTGAAATTTAATTAAGCTTTTGAAAAACCTTTTTCGGCATCTTAAATCTAATAAGAACAAAAAATAAATGATTGTTTAGTTAATTTAAATAAAATTTTTTTTATAAATTATGTCCACAATTAAATAATTAAACAACATATTTTAATTTTAATAATTTCTGTTATACTTGGGGTTAATTGTAAAATAAAAGTACTTGACTAACATCTTTAATGTCTGTCACATTAGTAATATTATACTGGACAACATATTGTCAATCAAAGTAAACCATATTTATAAAAGACGATTATGACAGACCAAACGGCATAAATTCATAATCCAAACATTAAAAAAAATGTTTTCTTGTTCTTTTTTATAAATTAAACAACGTAGTTTTATTACAATTGTATTTAAATTATCATCTTAAAGTCACAAAAGTCTATTAGTTCATATATCTTAGCTAAATGGTACTGTATGGGGCCAAAAGTTCGGAATTGAAGTATAAAGAAAAAGGAAAAAGGTTTTTTCCCCTGCAAAATCGAGAAAAACTACTAAAACATTTACAGTTATAAACACAATAAAGTACCTAAACTAAAATATTTAACGTGATATATCTGGTTGAAATCTTCAAATTAAATTTTGTATTCGTGTTTGAAAAAATTTTAATTGCGATGATTACGACAGACTAAACGGCCAAAACTAATAATCCAAACCATTAAGAAAAAATAAAAATTTGAATCTTGTTTTCTTTTTATAAATGAAACAACGAATCACTAAGAGACATTTTGTATTACATGTGTTATGAATAAGGATTAGTTTATTATAAAATATACATTTCTTAATAAATTTTAAGTTGGCACGGTCCATAAGGTTGAGTTAATTGAACTGTCTATAATGATTTGTCAGAGCTGCGCTGGTAATAGTTTATTAAAATTGCCTAACGATTCATATGCATAATAGCGAATTATGATACTTTTTTAATTGATGAATACTCTAATTACTACTATATTGCCTTAATAACTTAGAATCTGTAAGAATAGGCACGTGTAGCCTGCTTATGGGTATGACTCATCAAAATATATTACAATTTTTTACAAAAACAAAGTGTTTGCGTTGTAAACATATTTTTGCTCGATATTTGCGAATAGTGCAGAAACACATAAAACAAAACTGCGTCATATTGAACATATTATAAAAATAATATTGGAAATATTTCAATTTTTCGATTATGTTTTATGTTATTCCCAATAGTTTTTATTGGCTGACTCACTAAGAATGCCTATTGTAATACCACTTGAGAAAATTTTCATTTTGATTGTCTTTTAAATAAACTTTTTGGCTATAGAAAAAAATAAATCATGATTTTAAAACAACCAACAATAATAATTAGGTGCCGATTTTGATTTTAAAAATCAAAATGAAACAATCATCTAAAAAACACATTATTCAAATAAAAGTTGTTCGAATAATTCCAAACATAATACGTATATTATTTTATTCAGCTAAAAATTATGTTATGTCAGCTATTAAAAAGTTTTTTTTTTGTATTCTACAGATGTTTACTGGTTGTCTCACTGAGCCTACATATTGCGATACCTTCTTAAAAATTAAAATATTCATTGTCTTATAAATAAATCTTTTAACTGTGTAACAAAAATAAATCCGAATTCGTAAACTACCTCAGTAGTGTTATTAGTGATATCACAATTTTGATCTTTTGGTATCAAAAATCAATTATATAGTTATTAGCATCGACGTGGAGTTGCATCTTAGCTGAATGGTAATTTTATGGGCCAAATGTTGCAAAAGTTCGACCACTTCTCCTTTAAAATCGAGAAAAACTAGCAAAACGTTTACATAATATTTTTTCTAATTTAAACTATTATAATTGTATAACATAGGGGAAAGGCGGGTATGTTAAAACAGGGTATTGGTGGTAGAAGTCACGCTGGAATCGATTGGTGATAATCAAATCATAATTTATTAATACAAGGCAATGTACCCACCTTCCCCTATTGATAAATTATTATCTGTTTATCACCAATCGATTTCAGCGTTATTTCTACCGCCAATACCCTGTTTTACCATACTACCCCATTAAACCCACATTTTCCATAAACCAAGCATACATGAGTATGCTGAGGAGGAGTAAAATGTTGACGTAAATAATAATGTTTACAAAATCAATACAATTTGAGACGGTTTCACAAATATTATATCGTTGTCGTGTAGAACTTAAGAAAATAAAATAAAAAATTATATTATCCGATCAAAAAGTTTGAATTGAAGCACACTAAGCAAACATGCATTGGTACGCAGTGTAAGATTTTGCTAAGATGATGACATAAATAATTATGTTAACAGAGGCCCTAATACGACCGCTTTAACAAATATATGTTTTTGCCGCGTGGAGCTTATACTAACAAAAATCACTATAAAACCGATTAATGCTAAGACAGAATATCATACTCCTCCGGTATAGCTCTTACGATTAAATTCATATTTTAACTTCTTAAAAGAATTTTAATGTCATCACACAATTCAACATGTATTTAAAATGCATATTATATGTTACCTTATTTTATTGTGTTCAAAATGGTACTGCTGTTACGAAACTTGAGGTGTATTTTACTTTTGAATACATCTTTTTAAATAGCATAACTAATAATATTATACAATTTACATAAAACTATTTTTTTGTAAAACTAGATTTCCGAAAAAACTATTAAAAATATTTTCAAATATAAGGCAACACAAAAAAATCAAGTTTTTAGAATTTAAACTCAATTTTAATGACTTTCTGTTACTCGAAAAAGTAAATTAATATTTTTTCAGAAATCTAAGATTATTTTACATAACAAAATGGTTTTTGACAATTTTTTGTTTATGACCGAAGATACCATACATATATTTAGCAATTCGTTATGCCATACAATTATTTTATGTATTCCAGATGTTGGAAAACTATTTTGATAAAAATGGTTTACTGCCCTATGATTTGTATGTATCGTTTGTACGACAAAACTATAATTCGGCAGACTATTACAAAGAATTGGTCACTGAAATTGGTCCAGAAAGTGCGTATTTTATTTTATTTTTTTTACATAGGGGTTTTAAAGTGTAAACCTAACGTATTGAAACGTTATGAAATAGTGGGGCGATAATTTTATCTATTATATTCGTAGTCAATTTTATAGTTGTACATCTTAATTCATGAGTATGTAGTTACTGTTAGATTAAAAAGCAGTTAGTTAGTTACGTTTTGTTTTTTATTTTACTTTGAGTTTCATTGTTAAAAATCATTTTAGTGTATTAAACAATTATTAGTTTGATCGACACCATAGAAATGACAACACCGAAATTTCACTTGTATGTACTTTAAATGAAATCAATTATTTTAAACTACTTTAATACAATATGTTTTTTTCTAGCATCTGGTGGTCTGAATTTAAAAACAAATTTGTTTCATAAAATATAATCAATAGGGTAATAATGTATTATTGTCGTTTCTAGTCGCGCATGGTATCAATAAGGAAACATTTACTTGGGCAATTAGTAGAGTAGACACTGAAGTTCCATGTCCACCAGATTTCAATCCTAAAATCACTGCTGGTTCAAGTCAACATGCAAATCTTCTCGAGAAGTCCAAAGGAATGGATAAAGATTTTGATGGGGAATATTTTGATAGAACTAAATAATATATAACGATGCACATTATATATTATTAATAAATAACACCGAAAATATTAGATTAATACATATTGTTTTAATGATTTTGTTGAATTATTTATTCCTGCAGATTTTTGTTGTACCGTACCGTGTATTTAAACATTAAAATTGTATCACTCCATTAGTTTGTAACAGAAACATAGTTAAATAATTGGTTTAAATAAAGAGTTTAATAATTATTATCAAACGCGGTGTCTTATTTTGAAAATGTATTTTCAAGTACTCGTCACCTATCCCCCAGTTAACACATTTTTTAAATCTCTTGTCATTTAGACAGGTTGACTTTTAGGTACAATTTAGCGTTTGGAAAACGTTTTCATTTATGTTACACGACTATAGAGGTAGCACTATACATATTAATATAATATCACTTTACATTAAAAATAACATTAAATCAATTGTTTTTATATATTTTTTTTTATATAATAACAAAATCACAACAACATGTATTCATATATGAAAAGATGTTAAATAAATAGTTTAAATAAAGAGTTCAATAGTAATTATTATCAAATATAGTGTCTTATTTTGAAAATTAATTGTCGAGTACTCATCACCTATCTCAGCTAATACATTTTTTAACTCTACTGTCATTTAGACAGGTTGACTTCCAGGTACCAATAAGCGTTTGGAAAACGTTTTAATTTATGTTAATCGACTATAGAGGGGTAGCACTACTACAAGTAATATAATAACACATTACATTACGAAAACAATATTTCAATTTGCTTCATATTTGTTTAATATAAAAACAAAATCACAACAACGCGTATTTCTTTATAAAAAAATATGCGTCGCCATTGAACACCCTAGAAAACTAATCGTTAAGTACAATCAAAAAAGTCTCGCTTTGAATTATGTTTTACATTATTACTTCCATTACTCTGGTTGTTTTACTGAGATCCTCTTAATGATTAAAATGATTAATTTGATTGATTTCTGTGCACTCTAAAAAAATATACCATTTGTCGGTTTAAATAAGTTTTTTACATATAACGTTATCTGGAGAAATAATATATAAAGTTAATTCATTTATAGGGTTTTATAATTAAAAATTAAGAAAGAAAACTAAATACAAGACGGAGCATAGTGAGCCTAGAAAATTCTTAAGTAATTATTATTATAACCAAAAGTCGATTTTAGAAAGTTTGTCTACGTTAGTCGATAGGTAAGGTTTAAAAATAATGGCCTAACCATAAAAAATATTAATAGTATTGAATCTTTGTAAGTTACTTCGGTATTGATAATAACACGCTTTATCTTCATTTATATAAGCTGATCGTTTTATCTTGAACTACACTGCACCTTTCCTCCTGCCCTAAACTATTGAAATTTCAATAACTTAAAAAATAGTTATTAAAACCGGTTATCGACCAGTCAACATTTTAAGTACATTATTCTCAATTTAAAAAGTTACCGAAATGTACTACTAAAGTTTTAAAAGTTGATATAAAAATATTTAGTTTGGCAACACTATGAAAAAAAATGTGATTATCAATTAAACCTAATAAGATATTGAGTGGTTCATGACAAAATGGAACTTGTTTGCAACATACTAAAAGCAAGCATACGCATTCAATATGTAAATTTTGATCACATGTACACGTGCATGTACTTCATGCATGTATTTCAAAAGTCGCTGTCAAAAAAACTAAGTTGGTAGATGAGTAAAAACAAAAAAAATTTTGAAAAATTGAGATCACATTGTAAAAAATTTTGAAAAAAAAATGAATTATCTTTTTAAACTCTATGAGATTTGAAAATCTAAATAAAACCTAAATAAAATGTGAAAAATCTGATTCAAATCTAGTTTAAATTATATTTGTGTTTTGAAATACATGTTTGTCATTATTTAGTTTGTATTTTTCGATTTTAATGACTAATAATATAGGAAACTTCTTCAACTAGTCATTAGTAGGACTACAAGTTAATATGCTTGCTGCTAGGCTCAAAGGTTATACACTATTGTACAATTTTAGAGATTAACTTGTAAAATAAACCTTGCATTTTCATCTCCAAATGATGATAAGGTAATTCTATACACAGGACGATAAAGAAATTCCTAATGCGAACTATGCTGGTTTATAACATACATTGTATACTATTAAAAATATAGACAAATAATGTTATTACTTTATTGATTTTGTTTTTTTTATTTTCATCAACATTTTTGTTTTACCGTCTTCTTCTTTATCTTTGCCTTACACTCCCAACTACATTGGTTCGGCCACCCTAGTCCTACACCTCCATAGAACTCGGTCTTCTACATCTCGTGCAATCACCTCCGCTATCATCATATCACTCTGTATTCCGACTACCCATTTTTTCTTTGGTCTTCCTCTTCCTCTTTTCCCTCTACAATCCCTCTCAAAAGGTTTTTCCCTGCAAAATCGAGAAAAACTACTAAAACATTTACAATTATAAACACAATAAAGTACCTAAACTAAAATATTTAACGTGATAAATCTGGTTGAAATATTCTAATTAAATTTTGTATTTGTGTTTGAAATAATTTTAATTGCGATGATTCCGACAGACTAAACGGCCAAAACTAATAATCCAAACCATTAAGAAAAAATAAAAATTTGGAGCTTGTTTTCTTTTTATAAATTAAACAACGAATCACTAAGAAACGTTTTTTATTATGTCTTACAGGTGTTATGAATTAGGATTAGTTTATTATAAAATATATATTTCTTGATAAATTTTAAGTTGGCGCAGTCTGTAAGGTTGAGCTAATTGAGCTGTCTATAATAATTTGTCAGAGCTGCGCTGGTAATATTTTATTAAAATCACCAAACAGTTCACATGCATAATAGCAAATTATGATAACTTTATTGATGAACACACTGATTACCATATTGCCTTAATAATTGTCTGCTTGCCATCTGCCATATTTGCATTAATATTATACCTTGCCAATGTTATAAGACATCTGATCAAATACACAGTATTGGATTTTAGCCGGTACAATAATAATTAAGTACATTGCCTCCAAATGACGCACAAACTATACAAACATTTTATATTGTAGTTTTATACTCACAAATCAATTGGTTTTTTATTTTTATTACAGTAATGCATAGATTTTTTTTTATTTCTAATTCTTAACTGAAAAATATTTCATTAAGCTTCTTTTTGGGCATTTAATATAGATATAGGAAATTTAGGCGAAAATACTCTTAGTGGGGCTTTGAGAGTTGTGTTCATACTTTGGACATACTTGAGAATCGCACAAAATACGCCACTTAAAGGGCTTCCAAATATTACAATTTTTGAAATATTATTTAATAGTTTCAGACCTGTTTTTAATTCGTACCTATGACCTAAGACAGGAAAAAAAAGTCAGTTACAGTAAATGGTTGGAAATATTCTTGTTGGATCTTCTATAATATGGTTGCGCCAACTACATCATTTAAGTTAGAAATACCAAATTAATTTATTGGTTTTCGAGTAGATGGATTAACTACACATTTAGTTGGGTTAACTATACTTTTTTTGCTAAATATCTATAACGAATTTGAACGCTTAATTCGGTATAACTATAAATTAAATGTTGCTATTGTTTTTTTATTATTATTGAACATACCTTACCTTTATTAAACATAATAGTATGATTAAGGTATTTAATCAATGATTTAGCATAACACATTAAAAATTTGTTGATAAGTGTGTAGTTCTTGTAGTACCCAAATATTATTTTGAGGCGAATGAAATAATTGGAATAAAAAATGTGTGTCCTTTAGATGACCACCTACTTTTAAATTCGTCTATTCGTATCTATGTTAGTTATTATATTATATATCACATGTAAACAACAGTGATGGAATACTTTATGCAATTTTTAAAAGAAAACCCGCGTACAAATGTTGTTTTCCATAAACTCAGTAACGGAAGTGTTTTTGAGTACAGCTGGGTGACAAGTCGGTTTGAATGGCTTTGCATTTTGGAGTGTAGTCTTAGGTAGAATATTGATGCGGTCTTTTTGACTATTGCGATTTTGAGGTCTTCATGAAGGAAATTGTTTGTGACGTACCACGGGGCTTTGGTGACCAAGCGGAGGCATATGGACTGGAACGCCTGAAATGTCCTGATGTTTGAGGGTTTTGCGGCACCCCAAAGAGCAATACCGTAAGACCACATTGGTAGAAGGAGGGTTTTGTATAAAAGTAAACGGTTAGAAATATTCAGATTGGGCTGAATGAGCGGTCTTATTAAATGTAGGCGAGTGTTTAACTGTTTCCGTTTGCTTTTGAGATTGGGTCCCCAAGTGAGTATTCTGTCGAAACCCAAGCCCATATAAAAAAATTCAAATTTTTAGAACTAAAGCTTAAAACTAATATCAATAATATTCGTGCGTGCATTCATGATGACGTCATACTCTTAATAAGGAAAAGCAAAAAATTAGGAATTGACACACTGACATTATAATTTCTTTTGGAGCCATGTACAAATTAATTTTAACAGTCAACGTGTAACAGCAAATTATTATAGACAAAATATAATCAACCCTAATCGTAGCACACTATGGCCACTGCAAAGGTTTTTATCCGTACTTAATATTTATACCATAATTATAGCAGAGATTCGCATTATTATTGTTTTTTTGAGTGATTTCATTTCTCTCTTTGCCCCGACCCCATTGTAGTGGGGCATGATTAATCATCAAGGTAACCTAGCACTGCATGATTTTTCAAAAAAAAAAAAAATAGTAAAATAATATTTGCCGATCAGAAAATTTGATTTGAAGCACACAAAGCAAACATACATTGGTACGCAGTGTAAGATTTTGGTAAGACGATGACCTAACTAATAATGTTTACAGAGGCACTAATATGGCTGCTCAAACAAATATTTTTTTTTTGCTGTGTGGAGCTTAAACTAAAAACAAACCACTATAAAAACCGACTAATGCTGAGACTGAATATCATTTAGTATCTCAAACGGTTAAATTTTGAACTCTTGTATAACTTCAGCGTTTTTAAAATGTACTGCAAACTTATTTTATTGTTTGTGTTTTTCTGTATTAAAAACGGTGACGCCTTACCCTCAGCGAAGGTAAATTTCAATTTTGTAATAAATCTTTATAAAAAAATATAGCTGGTAGTATACAATACACAATTACATACATGAATATAACTATAATAGAATTTTCAATGTTAATTAATAATACATTTATAGTATATAAATTATATTCATATTTATTTTTTTCATTTAAATAAGTATTATTTTTAATAATATAATATGCACTGTCCGTATCTTAAAAATATGTTCTTTGGCTTAATAAAAAAAAATTATGTTTCTAAAAGTTAAAAAAACTATTTCTATAAGTCGTCAGAGCCAAATTAGTTTTTACCAATATATATATAAATACATTTGTAATAATACACAATTATTTTATCTATTCCAGATGTTGGTTACCTTTTTTGCAAGTCATAGTGAAAAAGGTGTAATGCCCCTTAATGTTTTTAAAACTTTTGTACAACAAAACTATGATATGACCCAAGATTGCGAGGACACGGTTGGGAAGATTGAATCCAAATGTGCGTATTTTATTTTATTTTTTACAAAAAATATTTACTAGTTTTTTTTTTTTTTTTTAATGGGTGTTCCATACATTTTTAATAGTATCACGTATGTATCCACAGCACGGGAAAAACGTAATTTACAAAAAGTATAAGTGCAGACCGAAACAGGCGATGTGTTTTAATATAAAAAATATCTCTTTGTTAACTTTAAAATGTAACCCTAACTTCATTCGTAGTGAATTTTATAGTTGTACATCCTTATTCATAAGTATGCAGTTACAGTTAGATTAAAAAGTAGGCAGTTACAGTTTTGTTTTTTGTTTTACATTGGGTTTCTTTGCCAAAAATTATGTTATTGTATAGAAAAACTATTAGTCGAAAATCGCCTTCAAAAAAACAACACTGCAATTTCACTTGTAAGTAGATACCTTGAATGATATCAATTATTTTTAACTACTTTAATACAATATGGTTTTTCCTACAATTTGGTGGTCTAAACTTTAAAAATATTGTTTTATAAAATATATTCAACAGGATTATAATGTATCATGGTTGTTTCTAGTCAAGAATGGTATCAAAAAGGGAACTTTTATTTGGGCTATTAATTCAGTTGATAATTCGATTCAACTTCAAGATGCTTTAAGCCCAGCGGAGGTAAATATCAATTTTGAAGCACATCTTTATAAACAAATATAACTGATAGTATACAATACGCTATTACATATATTAATTTATATATATATAATACAATGTTAATTAACAATACATTTATAATATATAAAATATGTTTATATATTTTTTTTTTTTCATTAAAATAAATATTATTTTTTAATAATATAATATTCATTGTCCTTATCTTCAAAATATGTTCTTCGGCTGAAAAAAAAAATTATATTTTTTTATTCTAAAAATTATAAAAACTATTTTTATAGATCGTCAGAATCAAATTAATAGCAAAAGTTTCAATTTTTTAGAATTTTTTTTTTTATTTGGTTTAATACAATTATTTTATGTATTCCAGTTATTGGAAGAATATTTTGATAGAGAAAATAAAAATGGTATACTGTCCTATGATGCGTATTTATCTTATGTACAACAAAACTACAAAACGGCAGAATATTACGATAAATTGGTTACTAATATTAGTAAACGATGTGCGTATTTTATTTAAATTTTTACATAAGAGCTTTATTACAGGTTTTTGTTTTTTATTTGGATCTTACTTATATTTTAAATAGTACCACGTATGTATAGCACGGAAAAAACTTAATTTTTAAAAAAGCTTATATGTGCAGTCTGAGACCGGCGATGTGTTCAATACAAAAAAATTGGTCTTTGTTAACTTTAAAATGTAAACCTATCGTACTTTTAATGTAAAAAATTTAATATCGTATTTTTTTATTCATTTTTAAATATGTACCTTTTAAAACAGTTATTTTAAACTATATTAATACAATATGGGTTTTCCTAAAATCTGGTGGTCTGATTTATAAAAATGTTGTTTCATAAAATATAACCAATATAACTATAATATATTATTGTGGTTTCTAGTGAAGTATGGTATCAATCAGGAAATATTTACTTGGACAATTAGTAATGTAGACAAAAGAATTCCATGTCCAAAAGGTTTCACTCCTTTAGACACTGCTGGTTCAAGTCAACATGCAGAACTTCTCGAGAAGTCCAAAAGAATGGATAACGAGTTTGATGGGGAATATTTTGATAGAACTAAATAATATATTTCGATGCACATTACATATTATTAATAAATAACACCGAAAATATTAGATTAATACATATTATTTTAATGATTTTGTTGAATTATTTATTCCTGCAGATTTTTGTTGTACCGTACCGTATGTTTAAACATTAAAATAATATCACTCTATTAGTTTGTAACAGAAACATTGTTAAATAATTGGTTTAAATAAAGAGTTCAAAAATAATTATTAACGCAGTGTCTTATTTTGTAAATGTATTGTCGAGTACCTATCGAAATAATACTTAGTATAAGCAGTGTGTAAAAATAAGGTAATTTGGAGAAAAATGTAGAGTTAATTAATTTATAGAGTTTTATAATTAAAAATTAGGAAAGTAAACTAAATACAAGACGGAGCATAGTGAGCCTAGAAAGTTCTTAAGTAATTATTATTATAACCAAAAGTCGATTTAGGTAAGGTTTAAGAACCATGGCTTAACCATAATAAATGTTAATAGTATTAAATCTTTGTAAGTTACTTCGGTAGTGATTATAACACGCAGTATCTTTTTTGACATTTTTATGTCTTTGCTATGGCACATACACGGAAAATCGACACCGACACCGGTTATCGTAACGAAAAATAACAGCTGATTTATCTGTTTAGATAAGAGAGATAGCAGATAAGAGATAAGAGATATGGTTTTGACTTTGGAACACAACCGGAAAAAATCGACACCGACACCGGTTATCATAACGAAAAATAACAGCTGATTTATCTGATAAGAGAGATAAGAGATAAGGGAAGGGGTGGAGAGTTAGGGGGTGTGAGTAAGGGGATGAGAGTTAGGGGGTAAGATATAGGAGTAAGAGTTAGGGGTAAGAGTTAGGGGTGAGAGTTAGGGGGTAAGATAAAAGGGTTGGGGTTGGGGTGGGAATGGGGGGCATATTTGTTGTATTCACAACGTTAAAAATAGAAATGAATAATAAATTCAATAATTTTAAGGGCCAAATTCTCTATGAATTGTTTTGGGCCAGATATTATGAAAACACTAAAATATTAGCCAGTAACTTAATATGTTTACTAGCTACCTTAGATACACAAAAATGTATCCCGTGATGTTGCGCACTCGTACGCAAGCTATATAATACCTTTCATCCACAGTTTCGTCATCACGTTGTCCGGTTTGTCTTCCATTTCACTCTCATATTTGTAACCGTCTCCCCCGCCGTCGACCACCACGCTAGCACCGCGGCGGAGTCGGGTATTATTTATTCAGGGTGATCCTTTTATCTACACTGCACCTTTCCTCCTGCCCTGTACTATTGAAAAATAAATATAAGTAAAAATAAAAATAGTAGCTTCAAAAATAGTTATCGAAAACCGGTTATCGACCAGTCAACATTTTAAGTACATTATTCTCAGTTTAAAAATTTAATAAATTATATGCGTTACTGTTTAAGTTTCACAGTTGCTAATAAATAAAACATTACAAAATACAATTTATTCAGTCCTCTGGCCTCAGGGCAGCACTTGGCTATGCTACATGTTGGAGTTATTGTGCAAAACATGTTGTTTATTTAAAAATAATTTCTCTGTTATCCAAACATTCGATTGAACTTCCTTAATACCGAGTGGAAAAGTTGGAAAAGATCCTCCGGTAAAAATTGAAAAAAATTATAACGTATTATACTTAGGTTAAAACAGAACTTTATGGATGTGGGGGAAGTGCGGTAGGGAAATGCGCGCAGATAAAAATAGTACTACACTCCACTTCCCCTCCAGTCCTAACTTTTAAACTCTTAACTTCAAAAAAATAGTTATCCGAAACTAGTTATCGACCAGTCAAAATTTGTAATACATTATTTTCTACTTAAAAAGGTAATAAAATATATTCGTTACCAATTAAGTTTCAAAAGTTGCTATCATAAAAGTTGGGAGGGGGTAAAACCAAATTTTTTTAAAAAAAATTGAGATCACAATGTATAAAAACAATATGAAAAAAAAAATTCAATTATTAATTTAACGCAGTGAGATATTGACTGGTTCATGATAAAAGAATAACCCTATATATAAACCCTATGTATACTTTACCAAAAGTTTTTGTTTTTTCGTTCTACTAAAATAATATAGATAAGTTCCAACTTATTTTGTTGGCTGGTTAATAATCAGTTTTGGACATTTACATTTAAATTAATTAAAATTTAGGACTAGAGGAAGAATGAAGTGTAGTATTATTTTTATCAGAGTTACACTACCGCACCACCATCCATTTTAAATTTTAATTTGACATAACTAATTAGTGGATCTTTTTGATATTGAGGAAAGACTTATGGGAATGAGTGGATTCTTTAAGATTTTTACTGTTTATCTGTAGTGTCATAATCCAAGAATGAAGTATATTTGTTGAAAAGATTTGTATTGCTCACCAAGTGAAATATATGAGCACTTTGTTGAAGTTGAAATGTTTTTCTTTATTTAGTTTGTATTTCTCGATATTATGAGTACTTATAGTGGTAACTTCTTCAACTTTTAACATAATATAATACTTCTGGGTACGATTTAATTTGATAAACGTCTAGCTTAATATTATACATTAGCAGGTATAGAGTTTTATAATCTTTCGAGAATCCTTTAAAACAAAATTTTAATCTATTATTTAGAATTTGTAAAATAGGCACGTGTAGCCTACTTACGGGTATGACTCATTATAATATAATACAGTTTTTTAGAAAAACCAAATGTTTTTCATCGTGAAATATATTCTTATATTTTCAGTACCAAAACACATTAACATGTTTTTTTATTACAAAATTTGATCATATTAGGCCTATAATATATAATTTGCAATAGTTTTTGTTATACAGGAATTATAGTAAATACTTATATATTTATTAGATTCAACGTGGAGCTGCATGTAACTTTGTTATATGTAATGTGTATCAGATCAGATATCTTAGCTAAATGGTACTTTATTGGGCCAAAAGTTCGGGGTTGGGAAACTAATCAGGGAAAGGGGAAGCTGCGTTTCCATTTAAAAATGAAAATAAATTCAAAACACATTTACAATTGAAAAAAATGATTAGCTAGCTAACCTAAATATAATGGAAAAAATATGATTAAAATGCTATAATTCAAATTATTATTTATGTTTGAAATACATCTAAATACGGACTAAACTTTGATAGCCCCTAATTATTAAAACATAACTAACAACTTAGTTTTTTGATACGTAATGGTCGACAATGCTTTATTTTTATATTTACTTTATACCTTTAGTGTTATAACTATCAATCAAGATTATTTTTTGAACAATTCTTAGAGCCTTTCAGTTAAGTTGAAATGTTTGTATTTCTCGATTATAATGAGTACTTTTATTAGTAACTTCTTCAACTTTTCACCCCATGGAATACTTTTGGATAGGATTTTATTTGATAAACGTTAAGTTCTATTTTTTACAAAGTTGAACACATTTTAGAGAATCCTTTACAACTAAATTTTAATCAATTATTTTAAATCTGTAATAATATAGGCACGTGTACCCTACTTACAGGTATGACTCATTACAATATATTACAATTTTTTAGAAAAACAAAGTGTTTGCGTTGTAAGCAAATTTTTGCTCGATATTTGCGAATAGTGCAGACACACAATAACATGTTTTTTTCATAAAAAAATGCGTCATATTGATCAAATAATAATAATATTGAAAACATTTCAGTTATATCGATTATGTTTTATATTATTCCCAATAGCTAATTTTTTTTCAGATAATTATAATTTTTTTTGTAATTTTAGAGATTTTTATTGGCTGACTCACTAAGAATGCCTATTGTAATACAACTTGATAAAATTAAAATTTTGATTGTCTTTTAAATAAAATGTTTAGCTATAGAAAACAAATAAATTATGGTTTTAAAACAACCAACAATAATAATGAGGTCCCGATTTTGATTTTAAAAATCAAAATGAAACAATCATCTAAAAAACATATTGTTCAAATAAAAGTTATTCGAATAATTCCAAACATAATACGTATATTATTTTATTCAGCTAAAAATTATTCGAACAATTTAAAATTCAATTTTTCGAATAATAAGATACTGGAAAATGTTTTAATATATTTGGCAGGGACCCGTTTAGCGGATCGCACGTCAAATTAATAAAAAAGAGAGACAAGGGGAAATAATAAAAATATATATAATTTAACACAATTTTTGGCCTGTGGTACTGGGCATAAGCCCGTTTATTAAAATATGTTCTACGCTAACATGAAGATAAAAAAAAATTTATATAATTGTGAAATGGGACTGTGTCGTATTATAAAAAAGTTTGAAGGTCCATTTTAAAGTAATTATAATTCAAAACATTATTTCTTATTACAAAATAAATTATACCGGGTGATTTTTTTTAACGCCCTTTTTAGCTTTAATATAATATGGATTTTCCTAGAATTGGGTGGTCTCAATAACAAAGATGTTAATTAATACAAATCTTTTATCTTTGAGTAGTACAAAAATCAGAGTAACATGATGTTTTTCTCCATAAACAAAATTGCGTCATGTTGAACCTATTCTACAGATTTTTACTGGTTGTCTTATAAATAAATCTTTAAACTGTGTAACAAAAATAAATTCGAATTTTTAAACTACCAATAATAGTTGTGTTATTAGTGATATCGTAATTTAGATTTTTCTTAAACAAAAAACAATTATATATTTATTAGCATCGACGTGGGGTTGCATGTAACTTCTTTATACGTCAAATTTTTATATCAAACATCTTAGAGGAATGGTAATTTTATGGGCTAAATCTTGCAAAAGTTCAAGCACTTTCCCTTTATAATCGAGAAAAACCCTCCAAAAAAATTGAATTTTATTTTTTGTACTTAAAATTACGGCAAGCAGTAATATTTTTGGAAAAAAGTCAGATTACTTCCAAATATTTAATGAATATTCATGTCCTAAACGTGTTGGAAACTATTTATTAATTTCACTTTTTCCAACAGTCTTTACCCTAAACTTCACTAATGTCTCTTATTTTTACAGGGAGTTGACATGTTTTTGGTTTTTTCCATTTTGGAACTTACCACTATTTTGCCTGTCATGGACGGTATAAATAATGGTTATGTATGTTAAAAAAATCCAACTTCTTAGAATTATAGCCTAAAATTAATATCAATAAAACAATAGCTTAGAAATGTTTACATTTTCATAGGTATTTTGTTTTCGTGCGAGGAATCAAGATGACTTATTCTTAATAAGGAAAAGCAAAAAAATTAGTATTTTACACATTGCCATTATAATTACTTTTGGAGCCATGTACGAATTTCAACAGTCAACATGTACCAGCAAGTTATTATAGATAAATAATAGGTCACAGGTTTATAGGAATTTTTCAATCTGAAAGTGATAAAATCACTTTGGAAAAATAGCTTCGGTGCTTATCAGTAGTTAGTATTTTCAAGCCAGTATAGTCTAAACCAAGCACAGTATAAACTAGCAAAGTTAGAAAATATTAAGTTCAGATGCTGTAATTACAAATAAGCGTCAGAGCGTTTATTTGATCAGATTTCAGATTCCAAAACCCCACTGTACTGGTTCTTTTTTATTGGTTTAATTTTTCACTTTGTCCCGACCCCTTTGTGCAGATATGATTAATCATCAAGGTAACCAAGCACTGCATGCTTTAAAAAAAAACAGTAATATAATATTTTCTGATTTAAACATTTAAACTAATGTATACAAAGCAAACATACATTGGTACGCAGTGTAAGATTTTGGTAAGATGTTGACCTAAATAATAATGTTTACAGAGGCACTAATACGGCTGCTTTAACAAATATATTTTTTTTTGCTGTGTGGAGCTTATACTAACAAAAATCATTATAAAACCGACTAATGCACAGGTACAGATTATCATTTAGCATCGCACACGGTTAAATTCACATTTTGAACTCTTGTATAACTTCGGCGTTTTTAAAATGTACTGCAAGTGTATTTTATTGTTTGTACTTTTCTGTATTCAAAACGGCGATGCTGTAAGCCAAATGGAGGTAAATTTCAAATTTGTAATACATCTTTATATAAAAATATAACTGATAGTACACAATACACAATTACATATATTAGTGTACCAATAATACAATATTTAATAATACATTTATAATAAATAAAGTAATTTCATATTTTTATTTAATGGAAATGGTTTTATTATAAATTTAATTCAATTGGCGTGTGCGGGCATACCAAATAAATATTCTTCATAAATTTCAACTCGATCCGATTTTTTTTCTTGAAATTATAGCCAATAAAAGTTCTAACTTAAAAACTTGTATGATTTTGTTTTTTCAAATTTTTACTAGTATACTTTTACCCCTTCAAAGTACCAACTAGATACAACTTGTGATTTATAGAGTTACTATTCGAAGGAATTGGTCCAGTATTAAAAAGGTTACAGTGTATACAGTCACAAAAAAGTCCACATCATAGTAAAACCAATGCTTCAAACCTTTGCTGCTCTGCATCGAAGCTAAAACTCTAAATTTCTAAAAATTATAAGAACTATTTTTATAGGTCGTCAAAATCAAATTAGTATAAAAAATGTTAATTATTTATACTTTTTTTTACCTTAGTAAAAAAATATTGTTTGTGCAGTTTTGTTGAAAATTGGAAAAATTCTAAAAAAAATTGATTTTCGATAAAAAAAATTCGATAGCGAAGAAATCTAAAAAAAAATGTTTTTATTAAAATCTTAATAATAGTAATTTTTATCATTTTCTTTATACTATTATCAGGCGTTGAAAAAAATGATGTATAATTATTTTATTTATTCCAGATGGTGGTCAATTTTTTTGAAAACCATAATTCACAAGGTTTCATGCCCTTAAATACGTTTAAAAAGTTTGTACAAGACAACTATGATTTGACGAATGATTGCCAGAACATGGTCAGGTCGATTGAAGTCAATTGTTCGTATTTTATTTTAATTTTTAAAAAAAGGATTTATTACAGATTTTTTTTTTTTTTATTGGGTGATACTTACATTTTTAAAAGTAGCAAGTATGGATCCACAGCACGGGAAAAATGTAATGAACAAATAACTTATGGGCAATCCGAGACAGGCGATGTGTTTAATACAGAAAATTGAACTTTGATCACTTTAAAATCTAACCCTAACGTACTATTTTAAGTACAAAATTTAATTTTGTATTTTAAGATCTAAGTGTTATAACAAAAATATATTATGAAACAGTGGGGCCATAATTTTATCTACTACATTCGTAGTCAATATTATAGTTGTACATCTTAATTCATAAGTATGTATGTAGTTACAGTTAGGTTAAAAAACAGTTGGCTAGTTACGTTTTGTTATTCTTTAAATTTTTTTGTCAAAAATCATATTAGTGTGTTAAACGCTTATTAGTCGATCGTCACCGTAGAAAAAACAACACCGAAGATTCCCTTGTATGAAATCAATTATTTTAAACTACTTTAATACAATATGATTTTTCCTAGAATCTAGTGGTCTAAAATATAAAAATGTTGTTTCATAAAATACAATTATTAGGATTAAAATGTTATTTTGGTTGTTTCTAGACAAGAATGGTATCAATAAGGAAGTATTTCTTTGGGCGAATAGTATAGTAGACAAAGACGTTAAATGTCCAGAAGGTTTCGCTCCTGGTTCAAAGCAACTTGTAGAACTTATCGAGAAGTCCAAAGCAATGGATAAAGATTTTGATGGAGATTTTTTTGATAGAAATCGAGGATAATAGATTAATACATATTGTTTTAATGATTTTGTTGAATTATTTATTCCTGAATATTTTTTGTTGTACCGTACGGTGTGTTTTAACATTCCAATTATATCTCTCCATTAGTTTGTAACAGAAACATTGTTAAATAATTGGGTAAATAAAGAGTTCAATAATTATTATCAAACGCGGTGTGTTATTTTGAAAATGTATTGTCGAGTGCTCGTCACCTATCCCCCAGTTAATACATTTTTTAAATCTCTTGTCATTTATACAGGTTGACTTTTAGGTACAATTTAGCGTTTGGAAAACGTTTTCATTTATGTTACACGACTATAGAGGTAGCACTATACATATTAATATAATATCACTTTACATTACATCACACATTAAATCAATTTTCTTCATATTTTTTTTATAATAAAAAATCACAATAAAATGTATTCTTTCATAAAAAATATGCATCGCATTGAAAACCCAACAAAACTAACCGTTGAGTACAATCGGAATAGTCTCTCTTTGAATATTATGTTTTACATTATTCCTTGCAGTACTATGTTTGTCTTACTGAGATCCCCCAATGTGACACCTATGTGCTTGGAAAATTATAATTTTGTTTGTATCTAAGATAAATTGTTCGGTTATATGACACCAAATATATTGTTTTATTTTATTTTGAATTAATACTTAGTACAAGTAGTTTATACATATAAAGGAAGTACCTTGCATCACTGGAATTCAGAAATTAAAAATAGTCATATCAACTTTATAATTAAATTAAAATCATTAACTTGATAGAATTCTGTGGCCTCTAAAAAAATATACCAATTTATCGGTTCAAACAAGTTTTCTAGATATAACGTTGTCTAGAGAAAAATGTAAAGTTAATTCATTTATAGAGTTTTATATTTGAAAATTAAGAAAGAAAACTAATTACATGACGGAACACAATGAGCCTAGAAAGTTCTTTAGGAATTATTATTATAAATAAGAGTCGTTAAATCACTCTCAGAAACAACGCTTGGAAGTTAGGCGATAGGTAAGGTTTAAGAACTCATGGCTTAACCATAAAAAAAAGTTAATAGTATTGGATCTTTGTAAGTTACTTCGGTATTGATTAAAACACGCAGTATCTTCATTTATACAAGGTGATCGTTTTATCTTGAACTACCCTGCATCTTTCCTCCAGCTCTAAACTATTGAAACTTCATTAACCTCTAAAATAGTTATTTAAAACTGGTTTTAAATTGAAGTATAAAACAAATATAAAAAATTGTTATTTATTTTAGCTTCGATGCAAAGCGAGAAGGTATTGGTTTTACTCTGATGTGGGCTTTTTTTTTCGCTGTATACACTGTAACTTTTTTAATACTTGACCAATTCCTTCGAATAGCAACTCTATAAATCGCAAATTTCATCTAGTTGGTACTATGGAGGGGGGTAAAAGTTGAAAAAGTTTAATTCTTTACAGACGAAAGTTGAAAAAACAAAAAAAAAAACCGTACGAGTTTTTAAGTTAGAACTTTTACTGGCTATAATTTCGAGAAAAAGAGTCGGATCGAGTTGAAATGTATAAGAAATAATTATTTGGTATGCCCGCACACGTCACTTGTGTCAAACTTAAACTATACCCATTTCCCACCCCCCTAGGGGGGGGTACAATTTTTTTTGTTTTTCCGGGTTTTTAGCGGTAATTTTAAAACTTTTGGGTTGAAAATTTGCCAGTAGTTGGAACTCATATGTACCCATAACATATTAAACGGGAAAAAAATTCGGCACTACAGTTTTTTTTTAATTGCCGGGAAACTGTGTTTTCGCAGATTTCGTATATTTTAACAAAAACACCTAAAATCTTTAAAAAAAATTGATCAAATCATTAAAACAATTTTATTTATATCTATGCAGAATGATACTATTAGGTTTTGTGCTCAAGTACCACTTTTGACTTCAATTCTGGGCTGAGCACCGCAATGCTTTTCCAACTTTCTTGTATCGCCTTTTAATTAGATGATGTAGGTACAGTATTTTCAAATTGTTATTTACAAAAAAAATAAGCTACACTTACAGTTTTGACTTTTTTGAAAAAAACAAAACGACATTTATACAAAAAAATATATATATATATTTTGTCAGTAATTTTTAATATGCTGTAAATTGACAAAATTATTGATTTTTTTTTTTTTTTTAATAACCTTTATTAATAAAAAATATTTGGCTCAACGAAATTATTGATTTTATTCTAGTAAAAAATATGCATGCTACACAACGTTTCCCAACAATTTGTGGCGTAAAATTATGATAATATAATACGATATTACAAGTAATCAAAACATGTAAACTTTAAGCAAATTGTATGTATTTTTATTTAAAAACGGCACGTATTATGTGACAATAATGTTACATTAAAATTTAAAAGTAACAGATACTACTAGTATATTTAAATAGCATTTCGCCGGCGATCGGTTTAAGATGTCTGTTAATTTGCAATCGTTAATTATTACTAAAATCACATAATATTATTATTATTATTATTCGATAAAAGGCATTCAATAAAACACGAAGTGTTTATCGGTCCTGTGTTTTTATGCATGTTTTTTTTTTTAATTAACATACTTGCAAAACGTGACTATATGGCAAATGCAGACATATTTTGTGTCGGTATCAATATAATATCTTTAAATCATTGGATTACGCAACGGCCAAGGATAGTTTACACTATTAACAGACACGAGTCCTAGAACCGGGATTTAAATAAATTGTCTAGGAAATTACATTATGTGCCGTTTATAAAACACACCATTGCGTCCTATTAGTACCGTGAGACTATATGGTATTTCTAGGCAAACCGAATAGGTGTTACAAATAGCTGTTATATCAAGTTTTGGAAATTTCTCACAAAATGTCATCTTTTTAGGCGTTTTCCTCCATACTATGAACGGGGAAGGGATGAACTTTTTACCCTTTTGACCCGATTAAGCGTATTTCTGGTACGATCCCTGAGCTGTGGAGTTGCTACCCGAAGTGATCGGTTCCAGGGTCTTAGCACTTATCGTGGGTACATGTACTTGTATGTTGTAACGGACACACGAGATGTCCATTGTGCACGTACGACGACATTATTATTGTATGCTGGTAGACTAGAGCTGTAACAGTCGGCTGTGCCGGGCGGTCTATGACACAGTAATGGTAATGATAATAGTAATGTAATATTATTATTCTACACGGCTGCCCGTGTACCGTGTGGCGGTGGCAGTGGAGGGTGTGGCGGCCAAGTTTCACTTTCTGCCGAGATCTGCCGGTCGGTGCCATCCGATCAGTCACCGTAGCGTGCTCGCCGTGTGTGTATAGTGCTTAACCGTGTACCCGAATCGCCTGTACCGACCTGTTACACGTGTGTGTTCGTGCACTGGACAATCGCCGTGTGTTTAGTCGCTGGTTTGTCTAGAGTATAATTTTTTTTTTTAAACAATTTTTTCCACCCAACTGTCAACGCCGCGGCATTCTCGATGAATACGCAAAATATCATCGGCCACTACACGAATCCACGAATGTGCTCCGAATCGTTTACCGTGAGTAGTTTTATTTATTCCCAACCCCTGTATATTGACCCGATCCAGTGCACTCTGACCGGGGTGGTTTCGTCGGAGTTGTGCCAATTCTTATCCGAATAAAACGTTTTAATCCATTCACGATTTGTTCGAATAAAACGTTATTCGAATGAAGAATTAATCGAATATATTTTTTTTAATTATTCGAATAATTTGCTTACAATCCGTTCTTATTCGAATATGCGTTTTCATTTATGAATTAGTTTTATACATTTTGCAAATGTAGTCTATGTTATATATATATATATGAAATCATGGTTTAAAATTTTAAAAATAATTACTTAAAAAAAAACAAACTAGGTATTCCAATAATTATGTTGAACAAAACATATTTGAACAAAACGTTGTACAGATAATTTGTCCGCAATACATTCGAATAGAAAAATGTTCTAAAATTATTTGAATAATTATTCGAATAACTTTTACTTGAACAATATGTTATCTAGATGATTATTTAGATAACGTTTTATTCGAATAAAATAATAATAATTAATCGATTATAATAGCTATTGTAATGGAAAACGATCAAAATTTCCATGTGTGGGATTTCATTTAGAATTAATATGAGAAAACAATGTCAACACAACCGTCGTGTGGTTTTTGCGAGTATTAAAATGTATCAATTTTAATAGAAAATTGAAATTTTCTCGGGAATAGGTAAAAGCAATCTTGTATTATCGTTCGTTCGTGGTTGGATTCAAAAATGTACATTCATTTGCTCAACCCGAATTGTGTTAATTGTGTTTTCTATCGCAATTGGAAATACCAATATCAGTAGGTATAAACTCACCGTTTCACTAATATTGTAGCCCAACGACTTTATGTAATACACGGGAAATAGCCAAGCTTGAATTATATCAAATGATAAATCGCGATAATTGGTGACTCTTCGGTGCACAACACACAAACTATACCAAGTAGAGCATTATTACTATTGTTTTCTATTAAAACAGTCATTCCAAAACGGGCAAATTTATCTATTATATCACACATTGCTTGTAAACGACGCACGTGACTCGAGCCAATAGAAATAATTGGTTCTGTCGGTTTTTTGTATTAGCTACGACATTCTCTATCTATTTGATTTCGTTTTCAACGGTAAGTGAATTTTTCAGTACTTTGATTATCCGTTACATAAAAAGAGAAAACAATTTGTCTTTCAGTAGATAGAACTTTATAAAAACAATTTTCCTAGTTAAATTTTTCTTATTTACCTGTTTTCGAACTGTGCATCATTTGAATAGAACTTTAGCTAAATAATCATCTAAACAGCAAGTTATTCAAGAAAAAGTTGTTCGAATAATTCTAAACATTTTTAATCGAACAATATGTCATTCGAATGAAAAACTATTCGAACAACTTCGAATTTAATTATTCGTATAATTTTCAAACGTATTATTTGTAGTGGTTTTATTGGATAATATTTTTTTTTTAAATATTATTTCGTATAAGTATAATAAATACTGCAATTACAAAATTTATAAAACCGGTATAGATATTGGAAATTATTTTTTTATTCGATTGAATTGTGAAATATCAATTCGAATAAGAACTAATTGCACAACCCTGCGTGTTTTACACAAGTTGTTTAAACAAATTTTAACCACACTTGTCTATCAAAATTTAATGAAACGAAAATAAACGTTTTTATAACGTTTATGTAGCTACTTTTTTTTAATGTTTTTTACACCGTTTAAATCCCTGAATTGATTAAAATGAACGAATTCGTATGATACAAAATACCATCAACGTCCATAAAGTTCTGTGTTAGCCTAAGTAGGTATACCTACTTTATATTTTTTTTCAATTTTTACCGGAGGATCTTTTCCAACTTTTCCACTCGGTATTAAGGAGTTCAATCGAATGTTTGGATAACAGAGCAAGTATTAAAAAAAACAACATGTTTTGCACAAGAACACTAAAGTCAGAGGACCGAAAAAAATTGTACTTTGTAATGTTTTTTTTAAAGGTAACTGTCGAAACTTAAACGGTAACGCATATAATTGATTAACTTTTTTAATCGAGAATAATGTACTTAAAATGTTGACTGTGTCGATAACCAGTTTTGGATAACTATTTTTTTTTTTTTTTGAAGTTGTTAAAGTTTCAAGTTTAGGGCAGGAGGAATGGTACCTAGTATTATTTTTATCTGCGCGCACTTCACCTCCCACCCTAACATTTAAACTCTTAACGCATGCGGTACCTTTAAATTTTTCAAAACCAACTTGGGATTTGTTGTATTTGGATTATTATGTAATATATTATAGAATAAGTCCGGACTACTACTTGGCGGTATTGCGCGCGGACATGAATAATAATGTGACATTTTGTTCTTTATGAACGACTCACGTAATTAGGCGAAGGACAAGGACTGTTGTTTATTGGAAAAATGCATTACTCACACTCTACACCATTGATAAATGTCCAGCATTTTTAATCGGCCAACGCCGAAACAATATATTTTGTTGTATGCCAACGCGTTAAGTTTATCTAATTCACACGAACCGATATCGTTTCCTGTCGATTATTTGAGCGTTTTGTTTTGTTTTTGGTCGAACTATCGCAACACAAAATAGGTTTTTTCAATCGTTTGCTATTCACACAACAACTGTCCGTGTTAATCAAACCGACAATAATCTTTACTGTTTTCGAATAGGTTTATTTCAAAATATTATTCCTCGTCGTCGCGTCGGTTCGTTTATAACTGTTACTGTTCAATAATTAGACATTTATTGTAGATTATGGATTCACCACCACTGTAAGTAGACATTTTGTTTGATAGTTTAACAGTTTATAAAAAAAAATGTTGAGAAACAAATTGAGGAGATTTTATTGCCTTGTTGTTAATTTTTTTACACGAATAACAATTGAACAATAACTAGAAGGTATTTTTTTCATAATTTTGTAAATAAGGTAAATTAAAACCATTTGAAAAGTTGTCTTGGGACCAGTGTTAAGTTTTTTTTTATTGGATTCGCTAGGAAATACTGTGAAGTCACGCGTTATTGGACCTCTTTAGAATTGTCTCTTAATACCCTTTAGATAATATACACCACCTATAGTGTCGATAGACATTGACATAGCGAATGAATACCGTAAGCTCTTTTTGCCCCAAAAAGGGTTGGAAACTATTTTTTTTTATTTCCCTTTTAGAGCGTAGGTAGTTTTGGGATTTTAAGTCTGAAATTTAGACCGGAGGAAAACATAATGTATGGCCATAGCATATTATACCTACAATATACACAAAAATCTGTATATAGTATTGTCTACCTAAATCTTATTTGTTTTCTGTGTTATTCTTTTTTTTTTTTTACTAATTTGGCGGTATAAGGCGCAGACGTTGGGTGAAATCAAGCGGAAACATATCAACTACCGCACACAACAATCTTATCAATGTTAAGGCGGTCCGAAAGCAAATGTCATTATATTTTTTGTTCATTTTTTTTTTAAAGATTTTATATTTTATGACTTAACCGCCGTGTCGGATTCAAATGGAACATTGCTAATTAGTAAGTAACACTACACGAATGTTGCGGTTATCATTATCGAGGTTTTGCTGTGTTGTAGTTTTTATTTTTTATTATTTGAGTGATAAACTTGAAACAAAAATAGCCAACACGGTCAGGTCGGTTTAGCTACAGGACTTGTAGTAATAATTATAACCTAGTGATGAAATAAAAAACCTCGGGGGGGGGGGGGGTCAAATTCCTGTTATAAACCTGTAACCTCCCCCCGTCCCCACTGTATTAGCTTTTTGATATATATAGACTTGCTACAGGAAGAACACATCAAGACACACAATTAATAGTAGAAAAAAAACCAAATTATATTTTTCGCTCCACGGAAAATCATTGAATCATTTATGTGTCACCTATCATCTCTTATCACTTCTCTTAATACTTGTCTCGTGACTATCAGCTATAATATCTTATCAATTATCTCTTGTCTCTTATATCTGATCACTTATCTGTCTCGAGTGAAAGTTTTACTCGAAAATGGTTACAAGAAATTTCTCGTATCCAACCCAATAACATATCCATTTAAAAAAATTTTTAAAAAAAGCAATACCTTTTCAGGTTCGGGTCGAAGCAAAAAAAAACCACTAAGAAGTACCCACTCAATGTGCATTGTTAGTGAACTGTCCGGAAGAAATAATCAGCGCTAGGATTATTTAAGAGCCAATTATGTCCTACTAGTACATACCGGCATTACAAAGCGCTTTCGTCGAGATGACAATAGGTGTACACAGCTAAACGATCTCGCCGTGTGTTATAAACGAGAGGAGACCGGGAGAAAGGCTTAGCTCGAGGAAAGGTGTGACCGCGTGAAATTGATAACCTTTACGGGGTTTTCGGTGCCCCGAAAACAATCGTACACCATTGCCATGTTATTACTATTATACAGCAACGTTATGTCACTCTAGTTATAATAACAACTGTCATCGAGAACAACGGTAATACATCATGTAGCACAACCGCACCGCATAATATGTAACCTGTCCATATCCTGCGGCCCAATAAGTCATACTCATCTGCATCGAGTCGGCGATTTCTTCTTTGAGATCACAACTGCACCGCAATGAGACATCAATTTTTTGGACTCGGCCCATCCTAGATAAAGATTGGACCCGGCTTGAACAATTCCCATTCTCAGAGATATGGATTAATAGAAAAAAAAAACGCTAATCTAAATCAACACAACTAATTTCATTTGTATTCCGGAATAACTGTCTAAAACTTGGAATATTTTATAAACATACTAAAATAATAAACTCCAAAGGTATTGATTCCCAACAAATTTGTTTTTAAAGCAATAAACTAACTTTTTCCAACCTCTCTGTAAACTCTAAATGTCCCTAAAACTTTGCTCGAAAAAAAAAAAAAACTCCACCCTCTATTCTGGGGTTGATGATTTTTTTATAGATTTTTTGCTTTGTCAACGTTCATCGATAGTACTCATTGTAATGAATATTCCATACAAATTAGGAACCATTTCGATTTTATCTACACAGACTTACTACATTGATTTCCAGATAACTACGTTTAAACCAATCAATATTCAACAGGTATCTGGGCAACAGGTGTTTTGTGCGCATCATTTCCTCCACAACAATTTTTATTGATAATTAGCAAAATATGTACCATCAAAAAATTCATCTCGAAAGCGATTTTCATCTATGCGCTGTTTTTGTTCGAATAATAAGAACAAGTTTTCATTCGAATAATTATGTTTGCAATTATTATTCGAATAACTTTTATTCGAGTAATGCGTGTTATCTAGACGATTATAATAAATAGATAAAGTTGTATTCGAATGATGCACAACTCTGCCTGTATAATTCGGATTAAGCCCACTCGGGCGGCGGCGGCGTCGGTATGTCGTTTGCTTCGACAAAGTTTTCTCGAATATAACAATAATTATTATTTCAAGTTCAACGTACTCGACGACCGGACAAAAGCAAACCGTAAACCTGCGCGGGAGTCGAAGAGGAGCTGCACGCCGTTGCACTGTTAAGGCTGTAATAATAGTGCGTTATAAAAATAGAATACTGAATAGCCATTCCGAGGCGACATCGAACGAAAAGTGTTTGAATCGTAGGCCGTATTGCTACACGGTCCGGTCGACGAAATGAAAAACACTATTGTTGCCCGGGGCGTGGACAAAAAAAAAATGATAAAATAAAAAAGCCTCCGGCCGGGCTCGTGTGTGTACAGTGAAGGTGACAAAAATTCCGTACAGTTCGTTATACTCGCTATCGCGTAGACCGTACGGCTGCAAGCATAATAATAATATAACGAACGGGCTAAGGAGAAAAAAAAAATACAAATAGGTATATAAAATAAACCGCAATATAGTGTGTACGTGTGGTGTAATTATTGTTTGGCAGCCTCCTCTTATTGTAGTATCACACAAGACGGGGACGGACTAAACGCGGTAATAACAATAATAATAATAATAATATATTATGCGAAAATCTATAACACCACCTGTTGTCCATTTTGTCCGACGTGCGCGAACAATGTAAAAAAAATACTTAATAGTTTTTTATTTTAGTTTTTTGGCTTTTTTCGCCGACTGGCGTTTCGTGGAAAACGCAC